TCCCCCTTTGTTGTTGTTGTTTGTTGGGTTTTTTTTCCTAAATTTAAAGGAAACCAGGCTTCTTTTCAGACAAACCCATTCCTGTGAACTAATCATTCTGGACAATAGTGAACAATTACAAATTATGACCAAATCCTAAATCAAACATTCCCAGAAGCTAGGAAAAATACTTATTTTCTTATAGTCTTAAAGTTGCTCAGATGACACAGAGATATAGTGCAAACAAAAAACTAAAAAGTATTTGCTCTAAAAGTTACAGGTATTCAGCAGGAACTATGTTAACTGGAACAAGGAGTAAGACTGGAATGATGCCTTTAATTACAGTTCTTCATGACAACGTGATAAAAAGATTAATGCTTAACATCAACCTCAAAGCCCTTTACAAACATGAATTAGGCTTCCCAAGTACACCACTAATCTGTTTAAAAAGGGTGAACTCAGGAACAGGAAGGACCTGTCCAATGTCCTGTTAAGGTGAAGCTGCTGATACCAGCCCGAGACAGTGTGCAGTGTGAGCTGACCTGAACACAGCAAGGGAAAAGGCACCTCTGATTTCCCCTAACAGGTCTGGTTTTCTCTGCACATTCAGACAAAACAAGAGGAAGCTTAGCTCCACGATTGTCCTTCAAAGAGATCTGTGGTTTGACAAAATTTGAGAAACATCCCTCCCTCCCTCCCAAAACATCTCATCTGAAGATCTGTTCAGAAACTCTCTAAGAGGCTCACAAGACCTGTTTTCACCAAAACCTAGTGTGCTGAGTGAGCCTATCTCACTCCAAAGCACTGTGGCAGCAGTAAGAACGACAATTATCTAACAGACAGTGGTTACCAACACCACTTTCGCAGGAAAGCCTTGAAGCTGATAAACTGTGATAAGCAAATTCAAGTGAACTGCACGGTGGAGAAGTAGCAAAGCAAAGCTGCTCACATCTTGTTCCCAAGAACTCTGGAATTAGCTACGCCCCTCTCACATCAGCAACTGGGTTTGCACAGGATAATATGGTGGTGGAGAAAGAGTAAGAGTTAAACACAAGTCTGGATATGGACAGTTGTATTTGATATTCCTACAGGTGATGAGCTTTTTGTAGTATCAGTTAAGCAACTGATATCCTGAACAGAGGTCATGATCTCATATAAAATACTATAAAATGATGTTTCTTCTCTCTTGTCCCTCAAATTAGCTATTAGAAAGAGCAAGACTACTTTCTTCCTTTGCAGACCCCATCTCTCTCTGCAGACTAGAAATTCTTTTTCCTAAGACATTATGGTTACATGCCTCTCTCCTTCTTCAGAAACTCCTTTTTCTATCTCTGGTAGCTCTGGCTGCTGAGGCAGAAACAGCTCTGAGCACCACTGTAGTGGTAACCCAGTCTGGCTCTCTTCCTTCTCAATGCACTGCTCCATCAACAATGCAGTTTCAAGCAGCTGCCTAAAACGGCTTCAAATAAATGACGCCTAAATGAGGACAAATTTACACAAAGATGTCTTCAGTCAATTAACCAAAAGACAAAATTTGTTTCTGTAATAAAGTAACAGCTTGTTTTCCCATCCGGTGTCATGATGTTTATTCCATACTAAAGCTGAGAAAAATGTTGTGGAACTAAGAAACAGGGACCAAGAATTCATCTGTCCTTAGCAGTCATCCAAATAGGCCAAAAAAAAAAATTAAACTGTGGCCTATGTGAAATATAAACCTTCATTTGGGGACAAGACAGTGAGAATGGAATGCTGAGATCAGTATTTTCCACTCAACAAGCACAACATTTCTCAACTTTGTAGAGTTGAGTGTCTGAGGACATGCAACTTTCAACTTATTTCAGAAAATCCCCAGTCTGAATAATAAGGCACTTAATCAAACACTTCACCTTATAAAATCCATTCTCTAATGACATCAAAAATCAGTAATAATTTTGAACTGGGATCAAAAATCAGTAATAATTTTAAGACATTTGCAGATAAGATGATGGCAAAATCCTTCAGCTAAAAGCAGACATGTTGTCACCTTATTCCAGGGGTTCCACACTGTTGTCTCCTTATCACAACAGTTCCACACCTTCTGGGTGTTTCTCATGGGCAGCTCCTCACAGCACTGACTCTTTCTCTTTCTCAAAGCAGCCACTGACTCCAGTTCCCTTCTCACCCAGCCACCCCACTCTTTTATAGCACTCTGCTGCTCATTGCTTACAGCTGTGGCCTGTTAAAGTCAGGCCTGCTCCTGATCTTTGCTAATTGGCCCAGCTGCAACTCCTTAGGGGTAAGATACTTTCTACACTAGCTTTAGTTTCTTATATTCTATCCCCCTACACAGACACACAGCTGAGCACCACCCAACCAGACTGCCTTACTCCCCCCATCAGCTCAACTACCTTAACTGTATGTGAACATTTGTCTGAAACCTTTCTTCCAATTTTTCTACTGGAAATTTGCAATTCCAGGTGCTGCAACTCCCTCTGCTTCTCCTTGAGAGACTAAATGTATGAGTTTAAAATTCAATTGAATTTTCAGGGAACACATTCATATAAACAGCCATCTCTCATTGCCAGTTGTATGCAGCACATATTCAAGATTACCAGAAAGTACCAAGACAGCTTTTTTCACAAAAAACTCTAGCACAGCAGAATAGAAATGCTGTTTCTTCTGCCCCAACAGCTGCATCCATGAAATCACAAAGAACTCCCTCCTTGACATGGAAATAAAGGTTAAGTGTCAAAGAACAAAGAGGTATCTCCAAATGCTGTATCTTTATTTAGCCATTACTTTGACAAAGACTTATGTATTGACAGAGTTTCACTTATTTTTATAACTATGCTGAAATGATCTTGCTGATAAAGATGTGGATTTACCCACTATAGGACTGTTCAAATTGCTATTCTTAGATATTTCTGGGGAAAAGAGTGGACTAATGCAGCAGTGCATTTCTGTCCAGGTAATTTTCAACCCAGTCAGCATGAGAAGAGGTTTGGAGGCTGCGCTTTCATTCCCTCTCTGATCATTGTTAACTCAGGTCAAGAGGCTCAATCTGACTCTAGAGCAGTTTAGAGTCTAGAAAGGTTTAGTAGAGATACAGGAAAAATGACAAAAGGCTGCAAGAGTTCTGAAGCATCAGGATACAGAATCACAAAGCAGTTTCAAACATGGAGGAAGGGACCTTCCTGGCCACAAATTGGCATCCTTAAAGCAGCGTTACTGGCAAAACTCAGGAGGTTTGGCTGCCAGGAGCAGATTCTAGGTCATTTTCCACACCGTGATTTAATATCTGCATCTTAGGAGACAACACTGTGATTTACTCTATCTCTGATACCTAGCTTGCTTATCTGATGTACAATGTAATTGAATTTCTTCCAAAGAAAGCTTTTGGAGCAATGACTATTTTGAGAAATAACATTTCCCAAGGAACGTATATTGACAGTGATGAATTTCTACAGATGTAGAGGCTAATTAACAAGAACTTAACTAATAACTTCGTTGGATTTAATCCATATACTGAACTGGCAACATGCACCAGAGAAGGAGGCAGAGGGTGAAAGCATGTAGTTGGGGAAGAAATCACACATGACAGGCACTTTCAAAGTGGTTCACAGATATTTCAAATGTTGCCTAGGCTCTCTTAACCCTTGGTCTCATCTACTTTCCATCACCCTTCCAGGCCTGTTTCTGCTCCCCCTCCTCCTATGTCTTTCCTGCATACTCAGGGCAAATTACCCTGACCTAAAGATGGAAATGCCCAACAGTCACATATGCACAACATTCTTCTAAATAAAAGCAAGGTTCTGCAAATGTTGTCTTTCATTGCTCATGGATATCCTTGTGCATGAAATGCATGCAGCAGCACATGAAAGGGAAGAAGTTCTCTTAGTAACACCATTTTTATTGCCAAGTTCCATTTACAAAGAAAGGTCTCTTCCTTGTTCTTGTCCAGGTCTTCAATAGCCACAACAAATTCTCAATGCCAGCAAATACAGACTCAGAAGTCTGGATTTCAGAAACATACACCAATATTTTCTAATTCCACTCCCTTCCCAGATGCTTAGTTACATTGTTCTTTAAATTAACATAAGATATCACATTTACTCCAAGTGTCTAACATAACTTACATTAAATAATTAATACTTATTGCCTGTAGAAAGACATTTCAGAATTCAATTCACACCATGTTTGGGCTTTTTTCCATGTACATCTAAGTGCAGGTTCAGGACCTTTTTTTCCCTCAAATGAACTACATTTCAGAAAACTTTACTGAAATACATTTCATAGGAGGACAGTCCATGTTCATAAAATGCTTTTTGTAGTGCTTAAATCCCAGGTACATTCATTCTTCTAGAAAAATACATTTCTACCTCTTTGCACTGAAAATAATCAAACTTACAAAACAGCTAAAAATGAAGGAAAAAGTTGGCAACAAAAATATCAACACAGCTATTTACAAGTGGAGATGTCTAAAATTATCTTCTAAAGTTTGTAATGCTACCAGAATGTTTCCTGAAGTTGTGACAATGTATAGTTAGTGCTGTCCCTGGGCAAAACAAAGCTCCTTTATGTCTTTATAGACATAATAGTCTATAAATTTCACACTTGAATCTATGCTCAATCTTTAAAAAATTTATCTTCATGTTCATTGTAAGTACTTTTGCCACAGTTAGTCCTTAAATACAGCCAAACACTAACCCTCAGATCTCATACAGACTATAAGATTGCAATTACTGTGTCTTAAACTCACTTTAGTATAAGTATCCATAACCAAAAGTAATGGGAAACAAGATTTAAAAAATCTCATGAATCTTCAGATTATGATCTTAAAAGAATCCTGTGAACTAGTCTGGACCTTAACTTTTGTTATCAAGTATTCTTAGTCATTACCTGCTTAAGCCATTTTTGGTTACTTTTAAAATAAATGAACTCCACACATTTATTTATGCTAACAAGACAGCCCCAACAATGACAAGTTTTTCCTTTTCATATTAAGAACCAATCAATTCAAGTTAACAAAACAATAAACCAGATACCACCACAGTGCACATTTATTAGACAACCAAAATTTAGCTTTACATTTATAATACATTAACAAACACAAAATATATATTTTATAACACCTTGCAAAAGAAATCAAAACTGAGCAACGTGCAAATCTAAAAATGCGGGGAGATCAAAATAGGGAAAATTCTGTACAAATGTAATATAAAAATATGTTTCCATATGAAAGAACCCTCTGTTTGAGACTCAGTCAAGAACTGCATCTCCTATGTCTTTGTTGCTGCTCAAGTATTGAGCAGCAGAAAAACCCCAAAGAACTACTCCCCTCCCAACCCCTAAAAACATCCCACCCTAGCAAGCCCTGCTTGGATCACCCTCTGCTTTTCAGAATTCAATAGGAGATGGCAAGAGTTATTCTATTTGTTTCTAATTCATGCTGCAAATGCTGGGGAAGGTCAAGAGAAACACAGCAGGCAAGCACAGGAGAACTTCTCCAAAGATTGCTAGATAATAGAAGAGCAGTGCCCAGGTGAGTGATATCTTAAGGTAGGTCAGTGTGGTGAACCAGGGACACACCAAAAAACTCTTTCAAGAAGGACAGCAGCAGTTAAGAAGAGACTTTTCAACATATATTTAGATGGCTACATTAGGCTGTCTGAAAGAAGATCAATTACCTTGGAGGCAAAAGGCCTTGATCTCCTGCCCCCAGCTGATGTCTCTGCAGATCTGATCCAACTACAGGACTAAACCATTTCTTTTCCCAGGCAGCAGCTGCCTGCCTGGGCAATGCTCTTTTAAAAGCAAGTTTCACTTCAACTGGTTAGTGGAGACAAGGGCAGAATGTTTACTTTGGTGGGGGTTTTCTGACCACTACTCCCTGGTGGTCAGTGCCCCTGCTCCTAAGGCTGTTCTGGAGCTCCCTGTCTCCTGCAGGAGTGACAGCAGCACCCCAGAGTGACTGACAGCACCCCAAGAGTGACTTACAGCAGCACCCCAGAGTGACTGACAGCAGCACCCCAAGAGTGACAGCAGCACAGCAGGGAAATGTTTACTCTTAGGAAGTGGCTTCATCCTTACACACTCAGTTCCACCTGCTTGTCTGATAGCTTACCTACATCTTCAAGCATAAAGTTTATTTTACTGCTAGTGAAATGACACAATTCCAGGGCAATTACTGAATTCCTGGATTGCTTGAAGTAATCACAAATTAACAGCACACCTATTCTTCTATTTTCCTAATAACAGTATTTAGGTCATTTCCTGTGAAGCTCTCACTAGACAAGTGATCATGAGACTGAAAAGCCACTCAAAGGTAATAAAAAGTACAAAGTCACCTTTCTTTCCCTTTGCCCCATTTCTTGTGCAGTACAGCTCAGGGGTGAGATTATTCATATGCATTGAAGAGACTCCTTGTGCATGGGTCTAATCTTGCTAGAACTGAATTTGAAATGAAATAAATTAAGATCAAGGTTTTCCAGTCTAAAATTACTTCTGTTTAAGGGAACTCAGCCTGCACAGTGATATTTTCTGTAATCTAGGTCAAGAATCTAAGGTTAATAACTAACATAAAATGCTTTCTAATTAAGTGAGGCATTTTTTATAATGGTCTCCAGAATATTACTAAGACTACAGTGTAATGCTGCACCATTTTAGAGAGAGTCTAGACTTCAATCAGTTCAGCTAATAAAAATTCATGTGGTTCTTGCACCCAGATTGCTACTGATGTGTCTAGGCCTGTTCAGGTACATGCACATTAGCTGCAAGAGTGACTGCATGAGTGCAAATTCATCTTCAGCATGAGACAAAAAACCCAAAAAGGCAGGCTCTTATTCTAGTAACGCCAGATTTTCACACAAAATCCACTGCAGTGCTGAGGACACCTAACTCTGAATTCATTTAGAGTTTGGGCCACTCTGGAATGATCAGAGTATCACAGTTAATTCAATTTGAGACAAAGCAGAAGTCACAGAAAATTAGAAATCAAAACTGCATGAAAAAGTAAACAGGGAAAAAATTACTGGCATTCAGTAGCAGATACCTCATATACCCAGTTGGCAAAGATTCAATTATTATGTGAAGGAGAAGACAGAAAAAGTGAGAAAAGTGGTACCTGTGAATTAGTCAATCTCATATATGTGTATATATATATGAATATATACCTATATATACACCTATATGTATATACACACACATATATATGACAGCCAGGAAGAGGTACAATAAGCAACTGGGAAGGGGTAAAAACGTTGCAGATTCACCCATTTGGTAAGAACTCAATGCCAGTAGAGTGCAGTGGTGACTGAAATCAATGCCAAGTAAACAGCAGCCCTCCTCTGAGGAACTGCCAACTCAGGGTTGAGAACAGACCAGCAATGGCAAGCTACTCAATTTACTATTAACTTAAATTAACTTACTTGGAAACTGATGAAAAATCTGAAATTCCTTTCATGTTAAATTTTGTATCAAATCAGCAAAGAACATTCCAAGCTTTAAGAAACATCTTTCCCTTTTCTGTCAGCTTGGTGTCAGGATCTAGGAAGTAATGTTAACTCAGAGTCACTTTTATGTATGTTTAATGTTGTTTAACTGAGATACCATCCCAGACAGGAAAAAAAATTAAACAATACCTTTTAAGATCAGACTTGCAAAGGAATTATCAGTTAGATATGGTGACCTTCTTCCTACATGACTATGAAAAATCTGAAAAACCTCTTTAGAGTAAAACTGCTTCTGTCTGCTTCTTGAAGTTGCCTTTCAGTTGCAGGGATATCACCATTCCTCAGATGTGTAGCAATTTGACTGTCAGAAGTGAACAAACAAGCTATAGCAATCTTGTAAAATATTTTACATTCCTCTCTAGGTGTCTAAGCAAAGACTAAAGTAGTCTCAAAAATCCCTTATGTTAATTTGAACAAGCATTCTGTTTCAACTTTGAATCAAACCTTGAAATAAATAAATATGGAAAGCATAGTATTTAAGTCTGGAGTCCTACAAAGACAATACTGAATGTGGCCAAGCCTGCTGGTATTGTGCAGACCTCCAAAAGATTAACAAGGTTAGGATTAAAAAAAACAAAACAACCAACCAACCAAAAAAAACCCAAATAAAACCCCAAAACCCCTCCTCCACAAATAAAACCCCGAACCAAACACCAAACTGAAAAAACACACCCTGACTCAAATGGGAATTTTACCTCTGTCCTATAATATATAATTTTTTTCTGGTCAATGGCACGTCTCCCATTTTAGAGACGTAACAATGCAGTACCATGAAGCTGGGTATCCAAAAGTCTCTTCACTTTGCCGTAATACTGTAGACCTTTTACAATAAATTAGTTCCTATTACAAAGACAGTAGGTTCTCTGAAACATGTTCATGTTCTTGTATAACATAAACTGGTAGGAAAGAACCAATCCAGATTCACAAGTCTGGGTTTTTCTCTCTTCCCCAGTTCAGATATGCTGAGTATGCGATGTTGGCTCTAAAAACTGCTGACATTCTCTGTCACCACTTGGTCCCTTCATGTGGGCCTGAGGCCTCTCAGGCCTCCAGAAGTATCTGCACTCCCAGAGGGAAAAAAAAATAATCACAATTTGGTTGCACTTCCTTCACTGTTTATTACAGTCTGCATGGTGGCTTTAGTCAGAACTTTCCTCCTCTACCTCTTTCACCTTGTCAACCTCATCTTCAGGCTGCAAAGAGGCCTGAGGGATGCAGCTGAATGTTCGGATGCTGTGCGGATCCACTGGTGGCACCAGTGTGAGCGACTCCACGCTCAGCGTGTCCGTGCTGTCATCTGTGAGTAAGGATATGGTGGGCTGCTGGGCAGGAATCAGGCTGGGAGACAGGTTGGCTGTTTCTGTGTCACTGGGTTTTACAGCATTTCTGCTGGACTTGGAAACAGCTGCAAGGGTTTCATCAGTCAACATCGTCTGACCGGAACTGGCCATCAGAGGCTGCTCTGGAGCTGAAGCATCATCTGAGAAAAGAAAACACCAAGAACAATCAATACTCAAGGCAGTATGCACATTAACCTAACAATACACCATTATTCAAGAATAACTGGGTAGAAAATACAGCACTATGAAGCACTATGCTTACACATCCACATTTTAGTAATTAGAAATAGACCAAAATATACCAAGGCATAACCTAAAATGCCAGCAGGATTATGTTCTAATTAGGAACCATTTAGTATTAGAATATGTATCGATATTAGAAATATTCTTAGAGAGAGCAAATTGAGGGAAAGAAAACCTCTCCAGTATTTAGTATGAACTAAAATGAACCCGCTACCCCTTACCAGGAAGATCTTCAGAAATAAAAGAAAAAACTAAAGAACCACTCTACAGCCAGCTCTCCCAAAAGGTGGCCTGTTTCTTACAAAAATTGAGAAGGCATTCTCTCAATTCATCCTCCAGGTTCATATTTAAGTGATGCCTCAACCACAGAAAGCAGAATTATGGCAAAAGAGGAAGGAGGATCATTTCCTTGCTGCAACTGAAAGGTGCTGCAAGAGGCCTGCTTTACACAGCCTTCTGAGACATGGGGGTCTTGTCCTCCTAAGCAAGGAGCATCCAACACTCAAATTGGGAATAAGCATAAATGCTACAGAAAACTGATATGCTGCTGCACCTCCTACTTCATGAAAAAACCCTCCAACATTATTAGCTATTTGTGCTGTCCTCTCCCCCTAAAAATCCTAGTGAACTGTCAAGCAAGCTGTTCATTTGGCTCAGGATGGAGAGGGAATGGACAGGATGAGGTGATACAGCCTTAGATGATCAAATATGCCCAGAAAAGTCAGGTTTTTTTCTTTTCAGACTACAATAATAGATGCCATTAAAGTAACAGGTATCCAGCTTCAAGACAGACCAGTTTTAAAGCTTTTGTAAGAAACAGCATGTGTTCAAGTGTACAGGAATCTGCAGAAAAGCTTACAAGGCAATGTAGTGAATACATAAGCTAAGAATTAAATTATGGTTTTAATACACAGTGACCTTAAAAAATTTTCCGTTTCATTATGATTCCAATTAGTCCTGGAAAAGAACAGAAAGTATGAACATAAGACAAAGGGAAAAAAAAAAAGGAAAGGCAAAGTAGAGAATGGAATGGGTATCAGTAAGGTATAAATGGATTACACTAAAATTACTGGTTTTTTTACCTTTCTGGTAAGATAACCCAAACAATGGTGTACTCTCACTCCAGAAACCACTCATTTACTTTTTGTTGAATTGGAGGCTAAAGCTTCTTGCTTTGATAGAAACAAGATTTATAGATGGTAAAAAAGTCTACTATTAAATAAAAGAGGTATCAGTGGTTATTTTTGAACTATAAGGACGGATTCAAAGTAACCCTACAGATTCTTCATCTGTCAAGAAGCTTTAGTGAGAATGTAGCAACTGATAACAGAGGAAGTGATGCAAGAATCACATGGAAAATGAACTGCTCAAACAATGAAATACAGGCTCATTTCTCTGAATTCCAAGCTGAACACTAACATTTCAGTATGCACACAACAGTGAGTTCCTGCTTTTTCAACCTATACAATCTTCAAATGCTATCAAATGCTCTTTGCCAAGGTAACTTTTAAATCTTATTTATACTACAACATGAATAGTCACCCAAATTCAGATTCAGAAACCTGAGGCATTCTGGTAAGTAAAGTATTATCAACCAATGGCATTCTGCTCAGAATGTTGCATATAGCACATTTCTATTTAACTTCTGAATCCACACTTCAGTTCTTAAATAATTCCTTCCCCTCTCTCAATAGAATATCAATGTCTTAATACTTGCATTTACTGAAATGATGAAAGACATGATATTCTTTTGTTATGCTGGATGTTTTGGTCCCAAAATCCTTCCAGGTAGGTTCTAAGTTAATGCTAAAGTGACTCCTTTCTTAATGCCACAAACAAAAAGTATATGGAAAAAGTCTTCATAAAAAAAAGTATCTGGAGTTAACAAGTCCAAATTTTCTACACCAAAGTCTCAAAAAAACCCATTAAAAAGAATGACAAAAGTATCAAAAACTGTGAGCAAAATACGCTGCCCAGTATTTCAGTGGCAGCATTTGTAGAGAACACAAGATCAGAGCTCTCCTGTGCTTCCCTCCAGCTGTTATTGATATTGCTAGAAGCCAGTCTCTCTCCTCTCAGGATGTCTTTTGTCACTGCCAGCCTGGTTTCCATCACTGTGGCATTGAATTTCAGGGAACAGTGGCCAATTGCTGTAACCCAGGGTGGCACCACTGTCAAAATGATCAGAAAGCAAATCCCAACACACAAAAGGGTGGAGGGGAGAGAGTTCTTAACACTGTCTAGAGCTCACAAGCATGTCTATCCTTAAGCAGGTACCAAGCTCTTGCTCCTAAAGAGTTTCACACACTCAGCATATTTACAGATTAATTTCTCTACTTATTATCTGGAATTTCCCTTTATACTATATTTAAAAATACTAACTGGCTTTCAAAATCCAAACTCCCAACATTTTGTTGCAGTTTGACTTTTGGATAGAAAGAAAATTTGTAATTTTTCCCTGGATAAAACCACCAGTCACCGAGATATGCTCTGCTCTTAAATATCAAAAGGTTATCACCTAATACTAGAAAACAGCATTTCTATTTATCTTTCCCCAGCCTCAATGTATTTAGGCAAGAGTGTTCTGGCACAAAATATATGCCAAATCTACAACAAAACCAGGGAGAGAGAAGTCAGTTTCTTAAAATGGTTTTGATCTTAATACTGAGCTCTAACAAACAGCCTTCCATACCTCCAAACTTATTGTACTTACTGAAAACAAGGTGTAATTTTGCAAGTTCTGGGGTATTATTAGCTCTCTTTGGATGCAGAGCCTTCAACAGCCTCACATGTTTTTCAGCACTTCTTTAATACTACAAAGATTATTGTTACAACAAAAAAAAAAACAACTAAAACATTCAACTTGTTATATTAACTTATGCTAAGAAGGGTTATCGTGAAAGAAGTTTGAAAAGAACAGAAAAAGGAAAGAATAGACATCTACAGTGAAGTGTCCTAAGCTGTACAGCAACGTACTATGAAAGGATAACAAAAATACAAATTACAAGACATTAGGCAAAAAGTTGCAAATTAAATCTATAATGATGAAAAAGGGTGTTTATATAATATTAGCAGAGTAAAGTGGCTTCATGCCATGACAGGAACAAAAGAAAAGAACATTAGATACAGGTTCAAACAGATTATATAACAAAGGTCATCTGGAGCGTATTTCCATATTTTTTTGCATCTGCTCCTCCTCCTCACCTCCTCAGGTAAGGACAATCAAACAGTCCATAAAGTTATCTGCCAGAATCTGATGATCACAGAAATATTAAGCTTGTGCCATCAGAGTCCAGGGACAGTCTTATGCTGAATGCCTGTCCATTTGACCTGTGCTATAAAGAGATTTCTTGCTGCTGGCCAAGGACCTGCATTACTGTCCACTCAGGAGCCTGTGTTTACTGAATTTCACTACAGCCAGGGCTGCCCTGTGCAAATGAAGACATGGCTGCTTTGAAGCTGGAGGCTTGATAGCACAATTTCCACCTTTGGCACGAGTGCCCAGAGACATGGGAGAAGCTGCAGATAAGGCTTTCAGGAACAGCTCATTATTGATTTACAGTTCTCCCAAAACAAAACGCAGAGGCAAATATTATAACGCTTTCTTCAGTTTCCTACCTCACTGTCACTGCTGTCAGCATGGAAAGCAAATATGTTCTACTGATTATTATGGGCTTGTGAAGGCTTATGGAGGAACCTGCCTGAGTGGGTATTGCGGGAGTTTCTGCTGCAGCTGCTGCTGGAAGGCCTAAACCCAGTGTCCACCGTGACTGTCAGCCTCCGACAGACTAAACACCCGCCGGCGTCCTTTCCTGCCAGACCTTACTAGAGGGAAACACAGCCAGAAATCATACAGAGCCTTCAACAATGACACAGGGGAGGGAAACTGGAATGGAGACAAAGGATAAATGTTAGAGCAGCAACAAGAATAAGTGACAAGGACACACCCGTAACTGCTGGTATCTTGAATACAATTTGACACCACACCAAGAGCCTTCTACGTTTGGGAAATACTTCTGAAGCAGGAAGTATTCATTCTTTAGAAATAAATGAGTTTATATGAATTTAATGCTTTGCTTCCTATCTCAAAATGTTTGTAAGTTTGGGCTATGTCTGGCAATATCAACATCAAGGAGGGCTGGCAGGTATTTATTTGCATTATAATCTACTCACCTGCTTTAGAAACTTTGAGAGAAGTTCTTTACCACAAATTCTGGTGACACAGAATTATTCTCCTTTCCCCTGGCCATGAATTATATGCAGTGCAGTACTGTGCACGTGACAACACTTCAGATCACTCAGCCCTAGTATTCTGAAACCCAACAGTAGCATTTACATTTGGTTTATGATAAAGCCAAACACAGGGTTTGAAAAGATAACAGCAGTTCAGATGATGATGCTTGGTGCATAGAAAGTTCCTAGAAAAGAAACTTTCTAAGAACAAAAGTACTTCCTCACCTAGTCAGAAAATTACTAGAGCTTCACAGAACAGGAGGTCAAACCACATTTACATTACTGATTATAGAGGGAAGAGACAGAGATGGTTTCAATAGGAAGGCAGACACTGCTCTTCTAAGCTTGATTAATCACCCTCTCCTTGGAATGGAAATTTAATTTCAGACTGGAATCCAATATGTTCTCTGCAACAAGGGACAGTTCTTGGTACTTACTTTAGATCTTTTATCATCAATACCTGCCAGAAGCACAAAATACAGCTTAAGTGGCACAGATCAGTGCCTTCTGAAGTCCTCATTACCTATTGCTCTGATGTAAACATTTTCTTAAGTACTGAAGCCAATTGCTTTTTAAAAGTTAAGACAGCTTAAAAAGTAATAAAATACAGCACAGATTACATTAATACATTCATAATTCTGGAAGACTGCTAACTTACAGTAAGAGAGCTTCTATATCTAATCCTTGGCATATATGACAGTAAGCACTTTAAAGAAGTGTACAGTTCCAGCAGGAGTAGCCAAGACATGACTGTATTCTAAGCTCTGAAACTTGATGATTAAAATCTGTCTAACGAGAACATTTCTACCGTATGCACAGTAACATTTCAAAAGCACATGATAATTAAAAAAAAAACTAAATACAAAGAAAAAACCAACCTGATAGCAGGACTTGCAGAACCCGACACTGATTTTTCTGTCTTGCTAAGCATTCTGCTTTCTTTAAGGGATGATTTCTGCTTTTTCAATTTTAAAGAACAATAATCTTGTAAAGGGCTAAGTTTAATCCCCAAACACTGCAAGTGGGGGAGCTGCCAGTCTTTAAAATATCTGTGCCATAAAGCAGCTTGACAACTACTAGGTAGGATAGCCAATGAACTTGGGAGTCATAGGAGTTTATTTCACTCATGACAAAGCAACTGATGCAATGCTGTGGGACTGTTTGATGCAGGTATGAGTGATAACAAGGAAATTATTTTTACAAAACATTGAAGTAATATAACTTTTCCCTGGTGACACATTTTTGAAAGCTCTTTTGCTGTTTAATCATCAATATATCCTCTATGTTGTAACATTTTCTCTTAATTAACATGCAATTTGTCTTTATTTTGTTCTCATCTATCACTGTTTTATGTAAAAATTGGTGTCTATGTTCCAGATCTCATTTTCTGAGACAACTCTGTGAAGATTTACAAGTATTATCTAAAATATATCAAACCCTGACCAGTTTAAATCTGTCAACAGACTGTAACTTAGGACACTATAATCACAAGTTCACAGTATAAAAAGCTGTGTGGTTTAAGATGTTGCTCCTAAGGAAGGTAGTTGAGGTAGTTTCCTTGAAGTCCAGATAGGCATCTCCCCTTTATCTAGTCTGGGCTTCTTGTCTCAAGTTCCTGAGCAATGCAGGATGCTTTTCATGCTCAACAGTTTGAGCAGGTGCCAGAACAAACAGGGGAGCAGGGAAGGAGGGGCAGAGAGGGGCACAGACATTTGTGTGTGTGTTCAAAATGGAATGGGAAATGAGAGAGTCAAATGTGACAGATGGCAGCAGCATTCAGGGGCTACCTTGGGACATAAAACAGATTTTGGTAACTGCTTGCTGCTCATCACACACTGGTTACTTCCTCCTCAAAGGAGCTACTTCACATCATGCAAGTCACTGCTGAGAAGCAGAAGAGGAAAAGCATTTTAGCTTCAACTGTCCTCAAGTGGTTAAGCTAAGGGAAAACCACTGCTTTACACAGAAGTGGGTGAATACCAACAGCTGTTCCCACATCCCAGCTGAGTGGTCAGCATAACCTGATCTAACACAGACTGTGCTCATGGCACTGTCACCTCCTTCAGCAGAGTTCTGTTCATGCACAAGCCCATAGAACACCCCCTTGCACATGCCAAACAGAGCCCCACTTTCATGCCACATCCCTGGCAAGTTTCCACTACAGATCACAATTCCACGTAAGTATTACAAAAGGGAGAATATTCAAACTCACAGTAACCTGGTCAATCAGTTAATGCAGAGACACTGATCCCAAGAATGCCACTACTGAACATACACTGAGATTGGCAAAGAGTGTCAAAAGGGCTCTGGGGGGTGGGGAAAACCCTTCCTACATTCACACCTCCCAAAAGACCTAGGGAGTCCAGAATTCTCACTAGTCTATAATAAGGACACTCAGACACAGGTTTTAAACCACTACTTGTGTTCATTATTGCCTGCAACTACACTAAGCAGTTTGGTACAGACCAGGGCAGCAACTTTGAAGAATTATGCACACTTATTGCTTTAGTCTGATTTTAGGAACAGTTTCTGTGCATTAATGAGATTCTTCTAGAAAGAAACTAAACTATTAGATATGCTGCAGCTATGCACCAAATACACTTCTAACACTAACAGCCAACATATTAGTCTGACCTCACCACTGGTCCTTTGAACAGCCACATACATGGCAGGGATTCTTGGTCCTACAGGCCAGAGCAAATACGGTCCAGCAAAATCCCTAAGCCACATGCATGCACCTCAGTACCAACTGTGCATTATCCTACTGCAATAAAATACCTGCTCATGCACATAAAGCCACTGCCTTCCTCTCTGTAACTGCCCTCTGAGGAGAACAAAAGTCATCCCTGCAGCAGGTCAGTGCAAGTTCTGATTTGGGACTGGAGCAGCTGATGCACATTGTCAGGTTCCTTCCCTCTGACTTGGCTGAAGGGTAGGACCCAGAATTGGACCCTCACAGCTACACTTGCTAGAGCATCACATTAAAAAAAAAAAATCAAAGCACACCCAAAGACAGTTTTCCTGCACGATACGTGACATTTTGCACATACTTTATGATTAAGTCACAGTGAAGGTCAAGGTGGGCAGTTCATGCAACCTAACTGGCAAAGTGCATACTGAAATCAGGCACTCCAAAATACTTTCCCTCTGGCTTTGGTCAGGGTTTTTTTCATAATTTTTATCTTTATTTTCAGGGGTGAGGAGGGTAGGGAATAGTTTGGTGTTTATTGTTGTTTGTTTTTCTTTTTTTTTTGGAAATCATTGAGCAGCCTCCTGTCATCAAGCTTTTTAAAATGCAGGAAAAACAAACAATTTTATGTTACACAAATGCCAACATACTGTGTAAGCAGACTGCAGTTTTGTTCACTACAGCCTGTGATGATACTTCAATAATTCACTATCTTTTCATACTTGATGAGTAATTGTATGTTCTGGATCTATGCATTTTTTCATAGAAATCAGATTATGTGTGCTTGAAAGACCTCAGTCTGAAACAAAGCATAGTCCTGCTTGATATTTTTGTCAACTAGCTTGAATTGCTTATACCTACAGAAATAATATAGATTCTTTATTTTCATTTCCTTTACCACAGTTCTCTTAGATACTTTTGGTAAGAACCTGTAGCTGCATTTCTCTTTCTGACCATAGAGGATTCAAATACAGCAGAGGACACTGTACATGAGCATTTTTACACTGCTAAGGAGAAACATGTCATCAAATTCATGTTTTCTTGTAGTGCCAATCCAGCCTGAGGATTCTGACAAATGACAGCACTTCTCTGTGCAATAACTACATATTACCTGGGCCATGAAGAGACTGGGTAACAGCAATCACTTGCCAACAGAGGAAATAAATTTTTGAATAGATGGTATATAAAAAAAATCCAAATTTTATTCTGAAATTACACATACTGCAGGACTATTTTGACTATGTGTTAATCTCTCAAGGTAATAGATGCTTTTTAATCTAGAGTCTGGCTGCTAGAATGCTTTAAATACTTATTGTTCCTTAACTTCATCAGCACCCTTTCATTACCCTTTCCAGCAGTATTTCTTTCAGGGACACTCACTTGAAATATATTGGTCTGCTGACACTCTTCAGTGAAACCTAAAAACACTCAATACCTAAAGAAGTTGCATCATTTCCTGTAGGACTGCAACTAATTTTAGATATAGATGGGCTTTCCAAATAAAGGCAAAATGGCATATCTTAGAAGGGGCAGCCAGATCAACCCTCTCAAGGAATGATCAACATTGTAAGTGACCATTAAAATGAGGGCTTGCTTGAAAAGGTCTTGAGAATCAAGTTCCCTCTATTGTTTTATAACCAAAATGAGGTAGAGTAGGTCACTTCTAGCATGAAAGCATTTCAGGATGCACCCTTGTCTAGTCTCCAGCCTCAGGCTTTGCCTCACACAATCTGCACTCACAAGAGACACTGCTACAAGATTTTCTACAAATACTACATGAAAGGGAGGAATAATGCAAAAAGAAGTTCCAGTTTAAGCATACCCACTAAATATACTGACCAATGCAAACACATGCAACCTACATTTGTGAAAGTTACACTGTCAGTCTATTTATATTGCAGCCTCTTCTGCACCAATGAAACAGCCTCCTGAAACGTGGAGGTGTTCAGCCACAAGAGTGTTATTGCAAAAACTTTGCAATATTAACATCCTAAATTATTTTCAAATATTTCATATTTGGCCCATTGTTACAAAGTACCCTGAGGATCAGATAAACACACAAAAGCAAATGTCACCCAGCTCAAAAAAAAGCAATACTTCAGTTAAAACAAACCACTGACCAAAAAAAAAAAAAATCCTCAACATTCTAAACTGTTTGTGCTAGGAGAGAAGTCAGACAAGCAGGACATTTTTTCACCAATACTTAAAGTCTCTACTGAAAGAAGCCAAGTATCTAGAGTTCTAGAAAGCTGAAGAGATCACTGCAATTTATACTACAATTTACTTTTAACTGGCTTAGTTGATTAAGTAATCTAAAAGCATAAAAGCCCTACTCTTTGAATCCAGTAACAAAGCAACTTAATTTTACAATGAACTGCTCTGTATCCCTTAGTGCCTAGGCTGACGGTGGTGAGTGAATACCTGCTGGGCTCTGAGCAGCAGAAGGAGTGGATGTCGAGCTTGCGGTCACTGAGTCACAGCGCCCTGTACTGCCACTGCCACTGGAAGGGGACGGTGACGAGAGCGGGGATGGATGGTGCTGATTTATGCACTGGGCTACAGCAAAGCCTGCAAAACAGGACAGTGAAGTTTACAAGTTAAATAGCAATCTTAAAAGAGTTAAGCTGTTGAACAAACTGGGAAAGGGTAAAAGCAAATCCTGTATCAAGGTGATGCCAACCTCATGTAGTGACCCGGAGGATGTGCCCTTTCCCACCTTCATCCTGGAAACCAGAGAAATCTGAATGTACCTTACTGAAAACAGGCTACAAGTGCTGATCAATGAATAAGGAAAGAGAGTTTAAGGGATTAAAAGCATTTTGAAACTTAGAGATTGCACAAACAGTCAAAATATATTGAAACTTTTTGATTTTTGATATAGTCAATATATTCACAGGTCACAGACCGTAACATGATAAGGAAAACAATTAAGTCAAAAGCGAACAAAAAACCCTCTTGGATATAAGACCTACATTTTTTTACTAGACACAGCTTCAGAAAATTTTAATCAATCACATCTAATGCTGGCACTGAATTTCATCCAGCCTCTCACAAACTGAATTTTTTCCAGTCTGAAGACTGGAAAGGTCTATGCAGTGTCTGACAGCACCTCTTAGATGAGTCATTTTCTGGCTTCTAGTGTAATTCTCCTTCAATCTCTTTGCAGGGTAGCATCCTTTTCTTTCCTAACCACCTTGCATTCATTCCTTTCTCCTTCTATAAGTACACATCTATAGCCACCTCTTCAGGTTTTGCTAGCAAGCAGCTTTTCAGAAGTTGATGCACTTCTTACAGCAAAAGAAGTGCCTTCACCACGGGCTGCAGGTCAGGTGAGGTACACCACGTTTCTGCTTCTGCAGCTCTCCTCCCTCTCTCCCATGGGACAGTGCTAATGCAGAAGTTTTTTTGGCAGTCCTGTGAAGTACTGAAAGTAGCCACAATGTGGACTACAAAACACCTAACAATACTCTAGTTGCTCCCTTCACTGAACAGCCAACACTGAAGGGGAAAGTATCTGACAATCAGGTAAGACTGAAAACACACCACACAGTTCTTTATCCTTTTATACAGGGAATCTCCCTTGGCAGTGAATGGATGATTCACTCAGAGAATCTCCTATATAGTGAAGATGCTGGTGCCATACAGGATGCAACCACTCAAAACTCAGCTTAAATGGACATGTTACAAGAAGCTCTGAAAGTTTTGAAATGTAGATATACCAAGTCAGGAAAATGCTGTTAGCAGCAACACACTGACAGGCTGCGCTACAAGTGAAAACAACAGTGATGAAAGCACAGAAGAAAGCTCACAAACATCTGTCCTGTTAATAATCTGACTTGATCTGTAATCCCACCTCCTACATTCTACCTCCCACGCTTACCCAAGAATTAGACTCAAAACCACTTGCAGAAACACAATGCCACCTGAATTTCTGTAGCACTGCAGCATAGCTTTAGATAGGTATCTAAATGTCATTTTTACCAAGTTAAATTACATTCATTATGTTCAAGATGAACACCACTTGAAAGAACTAAATCACTACCAAGGAAGGAGAGATGTCTTTCAGTGAAAAACAAAATATTTGGTAAGGAAGTAATTGTCCTACAAATGTAAATACATCCATGCATTTTATTTCAGAAACTAAACTGATTGATCTACAATCATTTAGGTAAGTTAAACTAAGTTTACACAGTGACACCTGACAGTCTGCAAAAAGTTAACCACAAACTGAACCACCTCAAATGTGAAAGACTTCCACATGTATCACTGGCCCTGAGTGCTATAGTTTTTAATCACAGAACATGTACATTAGATTTTTCATACACAGTTTGTAGTTTGAAATATCAGTTAGGATGGGGCAACAAGGAATAACCAACCAGTGGACTTACAACCACAGAAGTGAGGCAAAGCCAACCGGAAATTAAGAACAGTTCCTAAAGCCACTGCTACAGAAGAGCTTACATCAACATATTTAGCTTCCCTTACACTGCTGGTAAAAGCTGTACCTGTGGATAAAGCATTCTATATCCACAGAGTTTGCACTTCAAGGGAGAAGAAACCTTCCACCCTCAGCAGAATAGCAGAAAACAGTAAACAAGGTCTCCCATGACTGTCATAGGGAAAACTGGTCTGATTTAGCAGGATTGCCAGCCCAAAGCTTCTGCAAAACAGCACTCATGGATTCATGTCCTTACATAGGAGCATTTGCTTCAAAATGACCTCAACATATTTTCTCTCCCCAAACAACTGCAAAGGAAGAATTTTAAATGCGCTAACGGAAGCTAATTTAGATAGGAAGGAAAGGTAAGCCTGAATAATTCAAAACACTGTAACTGGGAAACTACTGACCACAGAAAAAACTTCTAATCAGGAAACTCCTATAGGAAATACCTGCAAAGAAAATGTGAGCAGAATTAATCCTAGCTACAGAAAGCAAAATAACAGTTAGGAAGTTAATCTGATGATGACAGGAATGTTAGTTCGTATTACATAAAGGGTTCCAAACCTATGGATGATTTTTTTTTTCTTCAGACTTTAAAATGAAGATGGTTATAACTTGCTTGTCATGCTAATGTTAACAAGCTTTCCTCCTACTTTTTTCCTCTCAAAACCTTATTATCATCTACTAAGATATTAACAATGGATAAAATAGTAAGAGAAATCTATTGATTTTTGAATCTTGTGCTTTTCAAAATAAATTTACTTAGTAGGTAAGCAACCACACTTATTAAAATATTTAGATGTACCTTTTGCTGGAAATCGTTAACATTTCCCTTAAGACAGGCAGGGTATATAAATCTATCAGAATAGAGCTGATACTTGAAACTAATTCTTGAGTTTGCTTGAAGAGGAAGTCATTATTTATTTACTTTCAATGGAAGACATCTGTACAGGGCCCCTACCAAATCTGCTGGTTTCTTTAAAAACAGTGTTCTTTATTTACATAGATTGCTTCAGAAGTACAATATGTTCATACATAGCTAATAGATGAGATGGTGAAGACTCCAGCCAGCTACACTATCCCTAAAATGCTCTAACATTCTAGCAAAGGTCAGAAACTTTAAATAGACCTTGGAGTATACTCATAGCCATGACTTCATGGTGATAAAATTGATCAAGTGAGGGATTTTGCTTACGTTGTTCTCTACTGAGAACTGTCCAGTCCAGCAGACGATCACAGCATGTCCCTGCACTTGTCACAGGGGGGATGTTCTGAAGCATGGTCTGTGACATTCTCATCACCCTTCACGTGCCCTGCACAAAATCCAGTTTCAAGCTATAACAATCCTCACTCTCTTTCCCCCAGACACCAAGATTTTAACTTTGCACTGTGGAACAATGAAGTCCAGTTTGACAACAATAAGGGAACACAGAAGTTAACTGCAGGCTCTCTAGTGACATATGCAGAGCTTTATGTAGGCACCATGAGAGAAACTGAACCAGATAACTGCAATGAGTGTTCTTGAAAATTCTAAATTCATTGACAATAGGAATTAGGGAACTGAATAGCTGTATCAAAGTTCACAGACTGAAACTTGCAGGAGGAATGAAAACATTGATATGAGTGTTAATTTCTTAAAAACCATGCTGGATTGTACAGCACTGACAGCCAACATGGTCCTAACAAAAGTAGTAATTAGTCTTCTAAAAATGTTGCCATAAAAACAGCTCTGCTTTAAATCTACAAAGGACATCACCAAGGGAAAGCATAATTTGAGTATTAAAAGTACAACCAAATTAACTGACTGTGCGAGCTCTGCAGAACTCAAACACCAGTTGGAGCTGTAACAGTTTAGAAATGCATACATGAAGCCAGTAATTTAATTGCAACTTGTTCAGTAATTTTTTCAAAGCCACAAAATTCTCCTCTTGAAGTAAAAATCATTGTAAGCCTGATTAAGGGATAAACACACACAGATTCCTACAAAAATCACTAGGAACAAGGAAAGCTTATTCATTCCTCAGCAAAGATAAGATAACAAGTGCATGTTTGATACTGGTTTTGTAATCAGATGTAAACACAGGATATTAATCAATTTTTATTTTATTACTACCTGTCATAAAACGCATTTCAATGATGCTGTATTTGATATACTTCCAGTTGCCTGTCTCATTTCTTATGCTTTGTATCAAATAAAAGCTTTAAAATACTTTCCCCTCTGGATCTGCAAGTGGAACTCTACATTTCCTGGATTCAAATAAAGGATGTCATTGCTTGAACAACGACTATGTTGCATCATCCCCAGTATTCCCCTTCGAATTAGCAGATGAAGTCATTCGTTAGGAACACAAAAGCACTCTTAGAGAAAGCTGAAGCAGTAACACTGGTCTCTTTACAACCACACCTTTTCCATGGAAGTCTGGTCAAATAAGGAAAACACTCCCCTCACACATCATACACTGGTCTTTGACGCACCTGACTGACAATACCTATGGTCTTATAATTTCTGTTCCCCAGTCAGGACTCAGGTAACTGAGCTCCAATTCTAAAGCAGTAAAACATCTGCGTTCTAAGTAATCTGAATTGTGTGCATTTGAATTCTGAATCACATTTAAAGAGAAATGCTGAGTTCTGTGAAATGACTGACAGTAAGAGGTAATGAAATCTTTTGTATAATACAGCACAATTAAGTACTTTCAGCAGTATGAGATTTCCCTTTAAAATGACTCAACCCAAAAGGAAAATAATCATCTGGAAAAGAATTTCTGCAGAGAAGTCAATTTGTGAAACAGACAATAAAGAGGAGAAAAAAGCAAAGAGCTCATTGATTTAGAATCATTCCTTTAATCCCAGTTCCAAGCTAATGTAGCTGTGGCCCTTTTCTGTCTTGGTCACTCTGAGGGAAATGTGGCAGTGCAAAACATTCCAGCTGTTTTCACAATCCAGCATGAAAACATTAATAACCAAATTAAAGGAGGAAATACACACAACTGACTGGGACTGCTCATAGAATCTAAATGGGAGGTGCTGGGCTGCAGCTCCAGAGCTGTGTCCAAAACCTGTAACTTCAGCTGAAGGCTGAACAGGAAGATCCAGATGTGTTGCATAAATACTGAGTATGCAAAGCATGATTTAAACTAACTTGATTTGTAAGGACGGCAAGGTATTAAGACATCTGGGGAAACTGCCATGGAAGCATTGCTCACAACACACCCACAATACACACCCAGGTATTATTTGTTTCTCTCAGAGTAAATTTTGCCATAAGCCTCATCCTGGAGTTGTGTGCTCAGGAACACACCACAATAAGCTTTTCACTGCTTGTACAAGTTACAGTACAGTTTTTGCAGACAGAAATCACAAAGCAAAACCTGCTTGTTAATGAATGCTAATCTTACCTGGGACTTTGTCAACAGATGCAAAGACAGAGCGCTGCACTGTGGGGTCACTGCTCCCACGCCGGGACTGGTCATAGAATCTAAATGGGAGGTGCTGGGCTGCAGCTCCAGAGCTGTGTCCAAAACCCATAACTTCAGTTGAAGGCTGAACAGGAAGATCCAGGAGAGCTATGTTTAATCACAATTGATAGTTTTTGTTACTCAAATACATAAAAGGAAAAAGAGGTGACAAGAAAATTGATAGTTTGCTCAGGACCTAAGACTAAACCAGATTTTAACATAACTTGCTTTCATTTGCCTCTTAATTATGGCTACAAATGCTCTGACAAACTAAAGAGTCAGTGCTTCTGGCAACCTTTTCTACATTGCTGTCTACACCACATTCACACTAGGGAAACCTCAAAATTTCAGCGGAGAAGAAAAAAACCCCAGGATTACAGGAAGTCCCTTTCACTAAAAAACCATAGGAGTTATTAACAATAAAAAACCCCTTTTGCTTTTCCCTGCAGAAATAAAGTAATTCATTAGTTAAAACAGAACACTGCAGAAAGTCATTTAAAGAGACAATGAGCTTTAAGATGGAAAATAAATGCCTTTGCAGTCATTCAATCTAAAAGCTTTAATATCAAGTACTAATATCCTCAAACTTGCTTTTATGCCTTGCTTCATGTAAAAAAAATTAAAGTGTCACATATCCACTTTATAAATTCTAAGTTAAATATGGAAGTAAATCCATTCCTTGGAAACTCAGCCCTGTTTTAGAGCTTTCTGTAGTCCACCACTCCTCAGTGTGCCTCAGCCTGACATTACAGAGTGACTTGCCATGACAGCCCAGTGCTGTCTCCCAGAGCCATTGCAGGACACCACCCACCTGCTATCCTCTGCATTTTGGTGCGCCGGGCCTGGATGCGGCCCTTGGCCAGGCGCTGCTTGGCGATGATGCAGCGAATGTGATCGGCAAAGATGAACGTGGCCTGCAGGATGGGGAAGGGCTTCGAGTGAGGGCTGGAGGCAGGCTTGTGGATGGTGATGTTCAGGGCTCTGCTGTCATCCTCTACTCCGGTCACCTGCATATCCTAAAGAGAAGCAGAAGGCAAACAGTTACAATAAGCTTTTCTAAACTACAGATTAAATATTAACATTGACAGAAAGTATTATGAAAATGTTTCATTAAAGCTCTTACTAAGACAGTTTCCATGTTAAAAAACCCAACAATATAAAACCAAACCAGACTCTGCAAGTTGTACAACTTGGACTTATTTCTTCAGAAATTAGTATTCATAGAGATTGAGTTAAATTATTTGAGCACAGCAAATTTTCAGGAAATACAAACAGCAACAGCTAAGGCAATAAAGAGACAAATGAGAAAAAATTCCTTAGATAAGCACACATCATTTCAAAATTACAACCTGTCACCTTCTCCACCTGTGTCGGAAAATCAGAACTCTAAGTGAGTTCATTAACTACTTGAGTAAAGTGCTTGGAACACAATCCTAACCAGATGTGACTTCAGTCTTCAAATGAGCATAGCCCAGCAGATGTTAAGGAAGTTACCCCATCTGCAATTGTGTCTCTGGTTACCTACGTAAACTTCTTCAGAAATTCAGAATTGTTTTAAAAGGCAGGAAGCAGAAAAAAGACCAAAGAAACAAGGAAGCATAGTACAAAGCTTAAATATATAAGCTAATACTGGTATTACTATTTATCCAACATAAAATGTAGATTTTCAGCTCAGAAAAGCTGGCCACCCAAACTACAACTTCCCTTACCTGCAGAAGGCCTGCAAACTTAACTACTCCCCATCCAAGTCTGGCAACATCTGGTTCAACCAAACTCATCTGGTAAATATCCACAGCCAGGAATCTTTGAACTTGGCCCCCATCCTTTGTTACGACTGTACAAGCAATCAGATCACTGTTATCTAAAGGAAGGAAGGAAAAAGGTTACATAACACTGAAGTTGAGGATTCTGGGGGGTGGGTAGTCTACGTAACAGAAAACGTTAACATATAAAAATATAACAACCTTGATAACACATGGTTAAAGCTTCTGTTTACATTTTTAATAGATATTTTAACTTTCCTATCATAGTTACATAGAAAGGGCAGGAGAGATTTTAACAACAGCGGTTCAGACATACAAGTTAAATATAAGATGGGTACTATATACACCTTGCTTACTCTTACCACCTTCACTACCTTTCTGAAAAGGCTCCTTTCATCTCAGGGGTAAAATTGCAACATTCTTATTTCTCTCACTACGTGGAGTCTCAAATTGTTAACAACCCAACACCACTGCAGGCCATGGCTTCTACCTTGTTATAAACTTTGTCTCCTGACACAAGCTACTTTTCTACAGGTCTGAAACCTATGCTGGCTCTTGGACTCACTTCAATTTCAAGATTATTTGGACTCTCCAGGTAAATTGTAGCAGTATTTTGACAATGTTTGATATTTCATTGACTTATATTGAACAAACAGATTCTTACTCCAGAAACCCCTCCAACAAACCCCAAAATACATTCCCCACCATTTCCTCACTGCCCCGTTCAAACCCATTATTAATGAAAAGGGACTAAATCACCCTGTTCACACCAGCTGAAATCTACCAAGCAGCCCTTAAACTGGCAGTGCAACCCCTAGCAGGGCGCTGCTAACTCTGCTAAGAGTTGCTTTTTCCTTTGCTTCATACTGATACTTTCATTCATATATTTGATGCACACAGGTCTTTTCCTCTCTCTCATCTAGTACAACTTACAGCAAGTAAAATATTGTGAAAGCTATACAAATCAGTAGAACTTATTTACTCATCCAGACATCTAAACAAGCATGTAACACCACTTTTCACACTAGAAACATCTGCAGGATAAACTACAAGTGGATGTGTACAGCTCTTCACAGTGGCAGGTCACATAACCATAGACAACAGCCATAAATTATGGTCAGGAGGTGGAAGAAATTCTTTTGTGCAGCTGATTACCCAGAGATGATGTGGAATTTACATCACCAAAGGTTTTCAGGCTTCAAAAATCAAACCAACTTCCTCTTCGCCACAAAAAACCCCCCACAATACAAGTGAGAGATCCTGTCCAACTAACATTTCTGTGAATCTACCAATTACCCTTTACCAGCAGGATCCATTCAAAATTCATTGGGTGGTAGGAAAGAAAGGCATGAAATACAGAACCCTAACACAATTAAGAGGATAATTAATGCTAACCAGTGTGAATCTACTGTCAGCTTTTGAAATTTGAGAAAACAAGTTTAATCAATAAATGCAATACATACAGGACATGATTCAGTTAACATGAGAATTGATTGCATTAACCTTCTCACAGCCCTGGAAGACTCAAGAAATCCATAAAGGATTGGCAAATATTACTGTAAGAACCTGTGGAGGATTTATTCCTGTTTAAAGAAGGAGCTCAGACACCAGGCAGAACTGGATATTTCTTATTTTGGTATGCTTCATTTCTTGCCTCTTTTATTCTTTAACCAAATGAATCCATCAACAGTTATTTCAGTTGACTTGAATTCCTGGAGCACTCCTGCTCTTCTCAAGACAAAGTGCTTGGATTGGGACTCCTTCAAACAGGAGATCTCAGGCTGATGACTCTTTTGGGAGATTCTCAACTAACAGGCCACAACACCAAACAGAAATGAGGAGTTCTCAAATGCTAGTTTTTGACCAGTATTTACAAAGTTTTTAGTGCAACAGTAAGCAGGTTAAAATACTTGCTATACAAATTCAACTGCTCAAGTACAGAAATGCACTACTTCAGGAACTCAAAGGGCAGAATGCCTTCCAGAACAGAAAGTTTTTATTTCAAACCTGACAACACCTTGAAGTAAAGCATTACTGTAAAAGTCTTTAAAAGAAACAGAAAGGAAAGTTACTCATTTATTAGGCAACTGTTACAGGAATCCTTTGAGCCTATACAACTGAATGTAGTTCATTTACATGACTGTTTCTAGTTCACAGCTGCTGAAGAGTCAAACTGCCATCCTTGATGACAAAAACAGAAGAGAAAGTGTGGTCAAACACATTTTCAGTGAACTGCTATAATACTTAACAGCTATGCTATGAAACAGCTAGAGATACTCAACCACATTCAGATGAAAATATCAAGCCCAGTAAACTTCAGTACTATTCAAATTTGGTCTGATTACAGTGAACCACAGGCTGAACGGCTTCCTGGTGTGACACTGCTGCAGAGAACTGGAGTGCCTCTTCTGAGATTAACAGCAATGGCTAATTTCTCCCCATGCAAAATGAAGCTTGTAACCAGTTTGGATGCTACACCTCCATTACTTGGATCCAAAATTTCTGTGAATTTTCTCCAAGAAAAACCCAAGTTTTGGGAAATACAGCCAAGGAAGGAGAGTTCATAGACCTCAGGTGCTTGCAGTGCTGAAGATGTAAATTCAGGGAAAATAGTTCTCTGTGTTTATAAAAATATTTGCCTGAAAAGACTGTATTGTAAGAAATATTCATGAATATAACAGCTACTCAATACGGTCTAAATGCACCTGACCTGTCTTGGGGCTTGATCTTTAATGATTTTATAATTTCCAGCCATCATCTGCAGACATTAAAAGCTCTTACAGAAAACTTTCAGCCCTTTGTAAGCACAGCTGGCAGCCCAAGATAAGCATTAGGCTGGAGACAGTGAATGCAGCACCTCCCACTTCACAGGAAGAACTCTTCCCAACAGCAGGCACCCTTCTGGGATAATATCCAGCTTTACTAAACAAGAAACCAACCAATCATGGATCCACCTTGTTCCCATGAAGTACATTTAGTTCATGTTAGAGGAGGTGTCCCTGGTTATACATCTGCACCACATTCTGGGTTACTCTCTTTGCCACAAATATGACAAACTGTCCTGGACACCTTTTTTAGCTGACCCTGCTTTGAGCAGAGGGGTTAGACTGGATGATCTACTGAAGTTCCTTACAACCTCAATTATTCTACCATAAACTTTTCTGAAGTCTTTTTAAAAAAATGTTGACTGTGATGGCCTTTTAGAACCTGCTCACTCTGTCTGCCACGTATGCAAAGAAACTTAACTATAATGTTACTTTTTTTCTATTTCAGCAAAGAAATAACAGCTTCAAATGTATCCTCATTTACCTCTTGGCCATGGCATTTAAAACATTAAACAGAATCCTGTTACCACCTGAAAACAAGCACCGAGGCTGTTCATTTGAGCTGCCAGTGACTTCACACAGTGAGCTGCTAAACAAGACTGAAAACACCTCCAGCCTCACAGGCAGTCTAAGTGAGACAGTTATCACAAAATATGTAATTGCTTCAAAACTACTGACAGTAGAAAAACACTGCAAAGTAACAGCTGATTAATTCTGGTGACAGCATATCCAGCAGTATGGAATGAACCTTTTGTGGAATTACCTGACTCTCTGTTCATACATTTATATATATTCATATATATTGGTGACAACCTTGTAACTACACCTAAAGGTTTGCATTTAACATATGTGCATCAAATATTAAATATGGTTCTTCACAAGAAACTTGAATCTCCCTCATCAAGCTCACATAAAACATGATCATTACATTCAGGCAAAAGGAAAAAAATAGAGCTATTTTGATACAGTTCTGTGGGATTTTTCCAAATCAAAACAGTAGCTGAAACCATTACTGGATCATCTTAACCTCTACCCCCCTCTTAAAAGGATTTGTATACAAACAAGCATAAACACTGAAGGCATCTTAATGTTCCCAAGAATTTTAAAAGCCTTGTATTAATAGAGATTGAGGAAAATTTGTCAAATCAACAACACCTCCAAAGTGATATTTAAAAAAGACACACAAATGTAATTTTTTGGGTCATGCTTTTGCCCACTGCACAGTCTCCTCCCAAGGTATGGCACCTCTGCAATCCTGTGCATCCTGCGTGCTTTGTGTGATGTTCTCCTTGATATCCTCCTGTCTCTCTTGTTTGGGCAAAGACTCCAACTGCAAAATACATTTTTATGCCACAACACACAGTGGAACCTCAACACTGTGCTACTTCAATTCAGGTAGTTTAAGGAAGAACAGCAGTAACAAGCAGTTTAGGAGAAAAAAGAGTCAATAATTTTTGTATCAGACTATTTAGGAAACTGAGGGGCTACTTACTCAAATCCAGAACATCATCTGCCTTTATCAGATCTCCCTCCCTCGTGAGTGGTAACTGAGTTTCCAGCTCACCTTGCAAGTGCAGGGACAGTGAACGGAGCATAAAGAAAACTCTGATTGCCTTGAGAAAATAAAGAAAAGATTATCAGAATCTTTTTACACCCAATACTACATATTTTAACAGAATCTTACAAACAAATACTGGCTTGTACAATTCCCAAGTTTGCTGTCCTGTAGTAAATATTTTTAATACATTTAAAATTGAAATTAAAATTGTAATACCTTTTACATTGGAAAAGTAGAATGTAATTTCTAACTTAGTTAAAAAGAAGACATGAAAGAAGCTGAAACCTGCCATTTATTTTCAGTGAAGTAGAAGCAGCAGAGCCTTTGTCTCACTGGCACACTTACACAGACTGGGACTGACAGGGAAACAATTACAGGAGCTTTTTATGCAAAAACAACCTTGGAATATTTTTATTTAATCATTATTTAAGACTGATTGTATTTGCAATACTTCTATGCTATAGACACCTACACAACCAACCTTCAGAGACTCTCACATTTGGGACTTAGAACAGTAATAACTTTTCTGGCCAAGTCTAGCTAATATGTCTACAAGTTAAGACAGAAACAGAGGGAATTTCTGCATTTTAATTTGCTGTTCTCACTAAAACTAGCCACATGTAAGTTTCTCAGAGCACTTAATTTATATTCTCAGAAGGTCTTCATCAGGGCAAAGCATTCTGAAAGCTGTAACAGTCCCAAGAAACTTTCAACAGCTGCTCTGTGAAATGAATATGCTAGTTTTGATTTACAAATTCATGACATATGGTATGCAAAGACCCAAAGTGTCAAAGAACAATCATTTTATTAGCCACATTTTGAAAGGCCCCATTTATAATCCTCTTTCCCTACAAGAGCTGCATTTTCAGTACAGCAAATGAAAAATCATTTTTTATTACTTCCGGTGTTCTGCTTTTTAAGAGTTTCCTACACAGTAATTCTGTGGTGTACTGTAAATTAACTGCTGCTTTACAGTAACAGCATTGAATTCATGAACAGCTGCAGTGCCCAGAAACTCCCAGATTGCAGGAAGTACTAGGAAAAACAAATCTAAAGTGCTTTAAGGGAAAACTCTTCACTCCTCTATTTTTAAAATCAACAGAACAGTGGCTCCTGTGAAGTAGAACTGTGAGTGTTTGAGCTCTCTACTGGCAGTGCTTCCAGGAATTTCTGACACAACAGAGATGAAGAGAGGGAAGCCATGTATCAGGTTCTTCCATGAAATTACCCCAAAGCAATGGCTTTGGGATGCAGCTGAAATTTAAGAGGGTAATCTCATTATGTGGAGCAAAGGACACCAAGGGTATCTAACAAAAATATCATGATAATACTATTTAATTCATGAGAGCACAGTCACTTTAGAATGTGAGATGATCACTCCTGTTTAGGCAGACTGCACTCTAATGCATTGTGGATTTACTGAAATTATACAGGATTACTACAAAGCAGTTTTCCTACGAAGTGCTTCAAGAAGAATTCACAGTATTTGGTTTAATATTTGCCAAATTCAATCAAGAAGAGGAAAATCTTGCCATTTTTGGTAACCCAAAAGTTAAACCCAACAAGGATTTTGTTTGGATTTTTTTTTTTAATTTGGAGGGCAACCATCACTCAGCTTTCACTTATCTGCTCCCTCAAACCTCTTCGTCCTAGACTGCATTAATTTTTATCACATTTATTTCCTATAAAACGAACGACACTCCTCTCCAAACATGAAATCACATTTAGTGCAGAATGAAGTACAGGAGTAGAAAATAAAATTAGAACTTTAGCCTTTGCAAAAAAAAAAAAAAAATGAACAAGAACATCAGATGAAATGGAAACTGCTGTGCTTCCTACAATACTAATAGCCCACAGCTGGTTACAGTACCAATATATTGTGCCTAATGTATTTTATCAGATCTCAACGAAACAACAGAAAAGTTCTGTGGCCTAGAATTTTTTTGGCTGACTTTTAGTTTTTTGGTTAACTTGGAATAAATATGGATTTCTATCCACATTAAAGTATTATGCAACTATGATCCTGATTTCCTCATCTATATACAAGTTCTGTGTGCAAAGACACATCAATTTGCACGGAAGCCTACCACTATCTTATTATATTCCCAAGAAAGTGTTCTTAGTAATTCAAAAACTTCTCACAAAGTGAGATTTTTGAGGGCTTCTCCTAAAGTTGTTAAAGAGAAGAACTGTCACTTACAGGGACTTTCCATAGCAAGGAAGTAAGATCCTAACAGTTAAGAACTCATAATATAATCAAAGTTCACTTGCTAGTGAAATAAAACTTGAGAACTTTTTTGAATCGTGTCAGAGCATGTTCAGAACCAAATCTTTTTGCATTTGAAACCATCCTTAGAACCTCAGCAGGTTGAGTGGCAGCAGCAATGTCACAAGGGACACCTGAGTCCAGCATTTTGCCATGGCAGGTCAGCCAGGGCAAGGCAGTAGCACAGGAAATGAGGAGATACCAAACCAGTGCAATGTGACTGGGGAAGGAGCACCAACAAGGAATCATTCTGGGAATTCTTGCTTATGATAGAGACCCTTTCATCCCAAAGGATCAACAGGAATATTTGTATTGATTTTTTTATTTCCACCAACAGAAGTTAAGCTAGTCCTTATTTAGCACATGAAAATCCTGGAACAGTCATTTCCCACTAATGTGCATTTCTAAGTATCTTTCTGTTAAATGCCTCAGAGAATTTCAGGAAGCATTTCTGCTTTCTAAGAATAATACTTTTCAAAATAATTCACTGTATTGTATCCAACAACTTGCTGTGATAACAAAAGCTGTGTGGCTTATAAGCAATGAAAATGAACCTTCTCAGAAGATTGCTGGAAGTATGTTACTGCACAAAATCATCATTTGGGAAGTGCTGTTCTCTACGTTTCTTTGCATTTATATAATTGTATTATCTAAGTATATTCAAGTACTCTTGAAGGAAAAAAACATCTCTTAGATTTACTGACACTGCAAGGCTTCTGGGACATAGCCAGATAAAGGCCAAGAACTGATTAATCAAGAATGAAAATGAGGATGTTGTCATTCAGGCCAGTATCACCTCTAAAGATTGTGTCAGTCACAAAAATACTTTGCTGGTTCTCTCTTCATTCTCAAATCTCTACCACAAATTACCTTAGCAAGATGAACTCTCAAGTAAAATTAAATTTTTTGCCATGTCTAGAAATATGAGTGATACAAAGCCAGTAGATTCTTACTACAGGAATATAACTGAGATTGCAGATCACAAAAGAAGTTGACAATATATTGTTATCAAAATGCCTTTGCATGTAGCTTTCTGTATGGTCTGAAAATTTAAACCCCAGTGCAAGAACACGCTGCATTGACTAGACACAAGAAATCAGAGAAAAAGCTTCTCCACTGGGGCAGACAATTATTATTTATGCTCTACACAGATCTGTCTTCAGCAAGTTTTATGATTTTATGGATGAACCTTCCAATCGAGCAGTTTTCTAAGAAAAGTATTTGTACTCCTAGAATTGCTCAATGATTTTGACATCACTTTGTCATGAGCAGATGGAAGGAAAACAGTCTTACTCACTCTTCGTGTTCTTTCTACATCTCCACAAGGCAACCTCTTCACAAAGTCAATCCCGGTCAGAGGAGTCCCCGTTGGGGGCAGCAAGATGGAGGCATCCATCATCAAGTATTCTACATTCATAGGTTTCATCTACAGAAATATTTCAGCACTGGTTAGTATACAGAACAAAAAGCATTTGTCTCTAGTTTCAAATATAACTCATTGTTGTGTATTTTAAAATTCTGAGAATTTTTAATACAGTGTCTCATTTAAGGGCCTTACATGCAATCTTTCATTTAACTCCATGCAACCTCTCGTTGTTCCCAGACACACTGCCGAAGTTCTCATACAAATAAAACACAGGAAAAACTCCAGAAGATTACAGAAAAGGTATTTGCAAATACTAAAAACCAAATTCTGCCAGGTTTGATTTCAAGTTTTGACTTAAATTTGTTGTTACTTCAATCACAAGGAAGTTTCTCATAACTTTTTCTCTCCAAACAGAACTTTCTCAGAAGAGAGAACATGCTGAGCTTCAGACAGGTATAGGAAGATTTTCATATTGTTTAGGGAAAAATAATAAATCCAGTGTCCCATTTAGGGACACTGAATGTAGGCTGAAGCAATTTTTTAATACTCAATTTTATAAGTTATGGAATTTTTTCAAATAAAGAGCTGTGAATTTTCACATAAATAATTTATATAAATACAGACAACTTCTCAGAGACAAAAACACCACTGACATTTTGTTATCCTACTCCCAGTAACAAGGACCCCAGTGTGCTCAGTAGCTATCAACACTTTTTCTTATCCCTGTGCTGTATCTGGGTTTGAGAATTTGCCAGGGCAGAAGAGATCTCACTTACTGTCATAGTCCTGTATTCATCTTCAAACATATCCAGAAAGATTTCTTCTCCCTTCCAAAAGAAAGAACATGGACATACCATGAGCCTTGCTGTTTGGGGCTCTGTCAGGTTTGTTCTGTACAGTGTCTGTGAAGGGAGGCCAGGGCTGCAGGGCACTGCTGAGCCCTTCAGCAGCACTGCTCACATCTCTGGGAAAACACACTTAGCAAAGGGAGAGATTTCTCTGCAGCCCCTGCAGGACCGTGGTGGAGCAGGTACCAACACTGCAGCAGGCAGATGTGCTCTGAAGGAGCTGCAGTCTGCAGGAGCCACACTGGGGCAGGGGAAGGTGTGAGGAACAACAGACAGAAGCTGTTCTGGACTGACATCAAATCCCTAATTCCCACTGCCCCCGCATGACTCACAGGAGAGAAGATTGAAGAGCCAGGAATGAAGCTGAGCCTGGGAAAAGGGAGAGCTGGGGGACAGTTTTAATTTGTCTTTGTTTCTCACTATCTAAATTTATTTTTCTTGGTAATAAACTAATTTCTGTGAAGTTGAGACTGTTTTGCCCAAGACTGTAATTGCAAGTGACCTCCCTGTTCTTTATCTTGACATAATATTCTATTCTCCCTTCATCCTGTTGAGGAAGGGCAGTGAGAGAGCAGCTGAGTGGACCTCTAGCAGGCAGCCAAGGTCAACCCACCACAAGCTACTTATTTTTTGTAAGCCACATTGAGCAAACATCCTTCAAGAGAATTCTAAGAAAAACAGGAAGATATTTCAGCCACTTGAAATCTGTCACGGATTTACTGCTCCTTATGTAGAAGTTAATGCCTGGGGCTAAAAAATTTAATTTCTTTCATTGTTTACAACACATGTGAAAGTAAAAAGCTGCAAAGGTTTCCAATAAGGAAAAAAAATTAGACAAAACTTTAGATGATCATTTCAGATATGATACAAACAAAAAGCAATGTCAAAATCAAACATATTCCACATTAGTGTCAATGATAAACTTGATCTCCAGTACAAACCCTGGGAGTATTCCAACAGCCCTTTGTGACATGGGTCAGGGTGGTACGGGAAGGGTGGAAAAGAGAGAAATTCTCCAAGGAAACACTTCCTTCCCTATCACAAATTTGGAGTTCCCATCTTAAAAAAGGTGCTTCTTTGGTCACTATGTAAAGACTGGGCTGCAGACATTCCCCATAGGTAAAGGACTTTCTTCTCACAGCATTCTGCATATTTACCTTATAGAAACGGCGAAGGAGATGAACACTTTCCTCCCTTGCACCCTAGGAAAGAGAAAATGCATTTCAGGGAATACACTTACTTATTAGTCACATTAAAAAACCCACCCAAACACTCATACAGAACAGACTGTCTAATAATTCATGGCCTTAATCCTAGAATTTGACAGAAAACAGTTCTTGCACCTATGAAAATGCAGCTCATTTGAGTTTATTATTTATTATTTCAAAAGCACTTTTCTTTACATTATAGAGATGGATAACATACAAGTTTCAGACACACAATGAAACACAAAACTGCTGGAGAAGTTACAAGTTAAAATAGCAGAGATGAGAACAGAGCATAGGTTATGACATTCACAGCACAGAGCTACCAATGCAAAGAAGTTCTAGAAGCTCAAATTTCACATCAAGGCTGACTGCAACCAGAAATGAAACAAATTGATTCAACTATACTCCAAGACTGAGACACCAGTAATGGAGTGACTGGGAATTTGAAAGAAAATACTCACCTCCAGACAATCAAGGTGTACATTTTTTATGATCCTGCCATTTTTGGAAAACACAAGCTGCTTCAGCAATAGGCAGCCAAGTTCTAAAGTTGCCAAACGAATTTTTCCATCTGTGAAAAGAAAATTTCAACATACAAAATAGCAGCAGTTTAGTTACAGCTCTTGTGATCATTCCACGTCCTTAAATGTTTCTACTCTTCCTGCAATTGTCAAACTTTCCCCCTTTGAGTGCTGGTGCTGCCTTACTATGCTGATGGCTATAAAGAAAAAACTGGAAGAGTATTTTAAAGCAGAAGAAAATTTAAAGCAGAGCCATTCAGTAAGAAGGGAAAGATTAATACTATTAAACAGTGAGCCCAACATTGGGTTTTGCTGCCTTTATCAATCTGCAGCACAGGTTGAATTACTCTAAAATTACACAAGGATCCCAGACATTTGGGATGGATGAAGTTACAAGGTGAAAGGAAGCTTTGTATGTAGTACACTAATAAGGCACAGCTTTCCCTTGAAGGGAGAAAAGGAGATGTTCTACACAGCATGCAGCAAGTTGAATAAAAAATACCCCATTTCCATCCTTCCCCAGCACCTCCCTCCCCAGACATGCCTTTATTTAAATAAATACGTATCCTCACTTGCACTCCTTCCTGCTGCTGCAGGTACAAACTCTTCATATATAAACATGTTTTCCATCTCTGACACATCAGCACAAGTTAACATGCTGTAGAGCAGTTTTGCAAGTCAAACAAACAGATTTTTATTCTACAGACATTCAAAAATTTGATAGGGTGTCAGTTTCTGGGGAAATCCAACTCTACCCATTTACAGTTTTAAGGGGGCAAGGGCAAGGAGGAGAGGTGTGGCTTGAACAAAGATCATTTTCATGGAATAGGTCATGGAACACTGGAACATTGTAACCCTTGTTTCACAAAAAAAAAGGGAAGAAAACCCCCAACATTTTCTGCAGAACAGTTCAGAACTGAAAATACAACCTGAAATAAAAAAAAAAAAGGAGAAAATTTGCTACCACCTAGAGCTGACAGATAAAGGACTGCTATAAGCAAAGCACACCATAGTTTTCAAGATTATTTCTCAACGGAAATTATTTCTACAAGCAAAGGTGAGACAGATCACATTTTCAGGATGAAATCAATAAATGTAAAACCCCTCAAAATCTCAATTTTTGTTTATTCAGAAGTGCACACAGTAGGAATTTAGACAACAGATCCTTGTATAGTTCTGAGTATAAAAACAACTACTCAGCACAAATCCAGAATTTCTGATTCCTCACCAACCAAGAAAAAGCCAATATTTGTCTTTCACAAACCATATCTACATACTGCTCATCAAAGAGCAGCTGAACAATCATTTTCTCCTCAAAGACAAGAGGCTAAGTAGCTTCTTTCTATCTTCAAAAACTTCACCTTGGAAGGAAAAACAAACCCTGGAAAAGCAATACCTGGTTGTGCAGCATAATTCATTATCCTGATGAGCCCTTCTGCAAGGACATGATTATAGGAATTTCTCTCTTCAGCATTTTGAGCTGGAAGTTGAATTCTCTCCAACTTGACTGAGTCAAGTCCTTTCATGAGGGTGAAGGAAAAAATTGCAAATTAGAAAACAGGAGTGTGCTCTGAGGCAAGCATTTAATAGACCACAGCAGTTCTTTCGGAAGAGAACAATTAGCAATAGGAAACTAAGCAAGATAGTTTTGACTTTGCATGACAAGGAAAAGGAGGAACAACAAAGACCAAACACACTGATGAATCCCTGAAAATTCTCAGCCTTAAATGGGGCCTACTGGGTGGCAACACTCAAATCTCAAAGTTGTTGGTGAAATGCAAATGATTTTGCTGTTTCTGAAATTCTCAGATTATTTGTTTGCATCCAAATCAAATCAAAGTCAAGCCATACATCTGGAGAGCATAATGGCTAAAGGGGAGAATATCCAAGTCTGATTTTAAATTCTGCTTTGGTAGTTAAGTAATCTGTTCATATATGTTTAAACTAAATAGGAATTTTATTTTGTAGTAGTCCTATTTAGTATCCTCCCCAGCACAAATAAAAGTTTCACTGACTTGTTATATAAGGAAACTAATCCCATCTTTCTTTAATATATTCCTCTAAAATATCAAAGTTCTTTCTCAGGAAAGGCTGGTTTGCTGGGAAACCTCTTAGAACAATAAACAATTATGGATTGTGGGGATCTTCCTGTCCCATTCTAAAGAACAGCAATAAACAACCCCATAAAGCCGAAGATGACTCTACTGAGGTTCTTCCAATCCTGGCCTTGCAGTTAACTCTACATAACTGCACTTACCTTTGTTGTGTGACATTGCATACAAAAGACAGAGAACAAAGAGGGCGTAGTAATCATCTTCAGGACAGTCCAGGGCATTGTAGACCATATCAAGGAAAGGCCTGTGGAAAGGAGTAATTTAGAAACAATTTTAAAAATCTATAGAAAAATGGGTAACCATCTTATTGTACACGTAGCTAATGGAAGAGGCAAATTCACAGTAATGCATATTTTCAGCCATTTTAACAAAAGAGTTCTGTTACAGAGTTTCTGTTGCAGAGTACTCAGATTACAGCCATGCTTTGTATTTACATACTGACAATAATTCTGAGTTTTAACTGGATTCATTACATAATACTTTCCCAAGAACTGCTTGTTCAAACAGTTACTGGGTTGTTTGTAGCCTGTTTAGTAAGTACACAGAATCATTGCAGAGCTTGCTTTAAGTGCATACCTAAGTAAACTCAAGGAGCTGCTATCACTGTTGTATGAAACAGACTCCTTCAAAACTCATGTGCTAAACACAATTGAAAAGCTCTTACTATTACAAGTAAGCATTTTTACCAGAAGTTTGCAGGAAGCCAGGTTTTTCTAAAACAAGAGTTTCACTGTCCAACAGTTATAGGAAAGAAATATTAACTAGGAGGGAATATCTGAAGAGAAAAAAAAGGTTTGGATTGTAGATGGGTTTTGTTTTCCTGAGTTTAAACACTTATGACCTATGACACATACACAGAAAGTTACAAACAGTGCTAAGTTCACCTTTTCTTTACCTGAACCTTGGAAAGACAACAAAAGTCAGCGTAATCCAGAAGGCATTTGGACAGATCAGATGCTGCTGAGATTAACCTGATATTAGCACAGGCCTGATGGCAAGGCAGCTTCACTTCTGGTCCTAGGATGGCTTGCATCCAGTCAGTAGTTCAAGTTCAGAGCACATTCAAAAACTAAACATATTTTCACAACTGGCCCAGCTAAACAAATGATGTGTCAGGGTAGTGTCACAGTCATCAGGAGATGACACTGTGTGTGGAAGCCCAAGTGGAAAGGGTTTATTCCTATCGGCTAAACTATACTTTAACAGTGAAAGGAAAAATATCCTTACATTATCTAAATTATATTTTAAAAAATACACTAAAAGAACAGTAAACAACCTAAACCCTAAACAACCTAAACCCTAAACTGTAAAAGTACTATTTAATATAATTTCATTAAAGCCAAAGTTTTACCAGGTGGAAGCTGCTGAGGTATCAGTAGTTATTCCATTAACACCAATATTACACAGTATTAAATTACTTCTCTGATGCCTAATACATTTTTCATTGTTTCCCCCCACATACTAATTAGATTAATGAAATTATGAAACTTGAAAAAAATCATTACAGAGCAGCAAGAGATACCATTTTCATTCCAGATGCTTCTTCAAAGCATCTTATCGGCATTGTCTGTCTCAGCCACAATAATCTGAGGCTGAAACAGCTTCCAAGAATCCCCCTCACCAATGTTCCTCATTTAGATTAAATACACAACAGACCCAGAAAATTTCAGCCTAAGAAAATAGCAACAGAAGCCACAACATAGCATGAGGATTTGACATGCTTTGGAAAAAGGCTTTGCTGTGCAGCATTACATAAAGCGAAGCTAATTTAAAACATGTCTTTAAGCTTAAACTTTCCAGTAGTGAGGCCTATCAAAATAAAATAACACCTAAAATACTTAAGCTTTTTCTTTTGTTTTTCACAGTAGGAAAAGGGCTAAGGGAAATTAAAAGCTTGACTTAGCTTTTACAGCTGCAGATTTTAAACTGCCAACTGTGCTGTTTTCCATTTATTTTTCAACAAGTATTGGACTGTTTTAAAAAGAACCAAACAGTTTTCACAGTAAAGGCTATATGGTAAGTATTTTCAAATGTATTTCTTAACTCTGTAAGCCTTTGCTTCCTTTAATTCTTCTACTAAGGGCTTGATAGAAGCAGCAGATCAAATGCCATACAAGTGTTCCTCAGATTATTTATTCTTGTGGAGTATGTCCACAACTGAAAACTGGCACCCACTAGGAACCACTGTCACCACAGGCATTAATGACTATTGCAGGTGTGGAAGCTTCAGTTCCAGTATGGCACAGAGGTCCCTGCATTTTCCACTCCCACATGGTGCCTTATCCACAAGGCTCAGTGATTCCAACCAGTGTAGGACAGAAACTACACATACTGAGGCAAGTCTCTTGAGAAATTTAGCTGCTGCTTCAAATGCTAGGCATAATAATACATCTTAAGCTACAGCAGCTAATCCACTGACATTTAAAAAAAAAAATCACATATAAAACAAAGGCCAGAATTGCCCTATACAAGGTATATCCTTATTTTAAAACTATTTTTAGCTCTGCACATTCTTTGATGTTGCTTATTTTTAGAAAAGATGCAGAATTCTGCGAGACCACATCTGCAGATCAAGAGAGGCCTGAACTGCAGACATTTGCCAAATGCACTGGCAGCTCACTTGCATTCTGCTCTTCTCAAGACCTGAGCATCCCAGTCACTTTAGTATTCCATGCACTCACTGCCAATTTCTTTCTAAAAGCCATTTGGCACATATTTTAGTCAAATTATCAATAATATAGAACAGTGTGTTTTAAAGCCAGTTCAAGTCAAGGTTCAATTTCACTTTTACAATGAAATTAAATGTTATCTTTATTAATGAATGTAATCTAAACTACAAAGCTATAATGGAGACAGAATGAAATTCTGGGAATACCAGGCAGCATTTCCCAAGTTTAAAAATAAATTTAAAATCCTATCAAACATGTGCATTTCCCCACTGGACACATTTGCAATTACTTTTGTGTCAGGCACATTTGGTTTCTTAACATTCTATTAACAGGAATGCAAAATCCCTAGTGAGAAGGTATCTTAGGGGTATTCATTACATCCAAGCTTAAATTTTGAAGTCAGGGCAATTTCTGCTCCCAGAAACACTTATAAACTGTATTTCCAGTAGAAGTTTCCAATAACCCTAAAACATAATAATGGACCCTGGAAACAGTAAAAGGTCACAAGGGTTTGCCTATAACTACTGTTACTAAAATTCTGCCCAACTCATCTCTGAACTGATGAATTTTCCTTGTTTTTTACTTATTGGTGCATACAAAAATGGACAAATGCAACTATAAATATAATAAATAAAACTTCCATCTTAATTTAGAGGTTTAGAAAATTACATTCTATTTTTGTCATGTTAATATTCTGTAATTTAACTGTATCAACTTAATGCATCACAACTGCCTAAAGGAAAGCACAAACTAAAAAGGAACAGGATCATTTCCAAAACCAAGCAGTAGAGAGACTACACTCCACTTTTGTATTGATTCACTCACTTGTGATCCAGAAAAAAAACCCTGTAATTTTAACTTGAAGCAGATTTGAAACATCCCTTTAAGAAAAGCAAAAGATTTAAGATGAGGAGAGGTAAGGAAACAATTCAGCAACATCTTTTCCAGTTCCTTTATACCTGTTCCAGTTTGTCATGTCACTCCCAGAAGCAGCTGCACTCTTTTCTTCATCTGTTGTATTCTGTTCTGTCACAGCAGAGATGGACAGCTCTGACAGCTTACACCTCTCCATGATTACCATCTCTATTTCTAAAAAAACCAAAACATACAACCAACATTTGCTATTTTCAACAAGATTATCACAAGCTCATCTGTATTTTCTGTTTGGTATTAAAAGCATTTCATGCATCTATATGTAAGAGGTGTAACTATTACTTGAGAAAGGTGATTGGGAGATGTGGGCAAATTTTCTTCCCAGTAAAGTCAAGAATCTGGCTTACATTTCTTTAAGGAATCTAACACTATAAAAATATATACATATACATAAAATATGTAAAGAAAATATACATATCATTTTGGCAAATAAGCCACAGTCAGCTCCCTTCCCACGCAAACCACAAGAAGAAAAGCCATAGAACCTCTTTCTGAAAAAATAAAAAGATTTGTGAAAAAGCTGGTGAGACTGGGGCATGGGTGGACATCAAGTTTCACTGAGGGTGCAAACAGCCTCCACAACTGCAGCAAACAGGACACCCGGTCCCCAGTGCTTCTCACCTACTGAGCTTCAGCAGAACAAACAAATCTAGCCTTCCCTTAGGAAGCTGAACAAAGATTACAACTAAATGCACCAGTTCAAATAGTAGATTACTTAATATTTTCTTCAAATTATGGAGGAAAATATACCATCAGTTATTTGGCACCATTTAAGAAAGCCTTCTCAAAAAGACTGTTTACCTAAATCTAAACTCAGTCACGTTTGGACAGGACTGTCAAAGAATAACATCCTTTCTTTCAATTGCTTGCAGGCAATCCTGCCACATTTTTCTCATTTTATGTTTAATTCTCAATTTACATTTAATGTAAGTACTAGGACTTATTATCCTTCTAAATGTTAGTAACCCTAAAATAAACAGTTATAATATGCTGTAAGACCACTTATCCTATAAAAGCAGTTCTTAAGTTTGGGCTACAACATAAATGCTGAAAAAGTCCAAGTAAAAAAAAAAAAAAAATCTAAGAGCCAAAGATATTTTCAATTATGAACTACTTAATATCATCTTCCATCACGTACTGTCACTTCTAGCACACCAGTTAAATTTTACCATTGAAACACAGATAAAATACTGCTGATTATCTTGCAAAGGTGAAGTGGCTACAGCTCTCCCTTACCACAAAAGGACAAGTTACAAAGCTGTCAAGCTTGCTTATCAAGTCATGCACACTGAGGTGCAAGGCATGCATTGTGATAAGGGCCAGGGCCTACAGGCAGATATGAACACACTTCCATAGCTTTAATGAGATTAGAAGTACATGTTCTCACAGCTTGACTTAACGTGAGAAAAAATCCAGCCAAAGCCTTAAACAAATGTCATAGTCCCATGCTCACCTAGTGCAGCAAGAGAACAAATCATGGAACTAATCACAACCAGCTCCATCAGTAAACAAAAGTACCTAAATTGTAAGCACCCTTTTCTTGCTGGAATACTCACCTTCATTTTCAGTGCTTGTCCTTACACCCTTTGAACTTGCTTCTGTACCTCTACTTTTATCAAGGTCATCTTGGTTATCTTCAGATCCTCTCTCCTCTTCATCTTCTTCACCAACATTTTTATAGTTGGGTCTTTTCTGCATCCTCTTCTTCCCTTTCTGTTTGTTAATTTCAAGGGACCTCTCAAGTGTTTCTGTGGGTTTTATGAAACATCTGATACTTGACTTTGCCTGTAAATTTGAACAGTGTACACTGAGTTCCAGCACAGAATTTTTAATTGAAATTGATAAAGAAACTTCAATTTATATAAAATGTAAATCAGCACACTATCCACAAATCTCAAATCCATTTTAAAATACAGAAAATTAATACCAAATCATCAGTAGCACAACTTTCCCCAAAGTAACTACCCCAAATATCTATCATTAAAAAGTAGGCCTTCTTGAGACAAGACAATGCAGAACTACCTAGTTCATCACCACAAGTTTTATATTGAAGGTGTGAGACATATTGCAGATAAAATTCAGACACCTTTTGTAAAAAGGATAAAGGCAGCAAAATCCTACATGTATGTTGACAGCAGCTATTGATATAAATAACACCCCTTTTAAAGGTGCAAGGACTTTTTTAAAGCAGCAAGGACAAAATCCAATGCTCTATGCTGTGAGATTTTTAGGTTGGTTGCATTTTTGGAGTCGCATGCTTCCCTCAATATCAAACTAATTCCTGTATCAACCAGGAAGAAATGACAGTCATTAACCTTTTTGGGGCCTCCAGATTGACTTATCAAGTCTGGAAAACACAACTTCATTTATTAGACTTAATTTACTTGTGTTTTACACAAAGTTATCACAGGATAAGATGGCAAACCAACACCTCATTTTCTTAAATGAAACTTAATTTTCTTAAGTATTAATTAATTTCAGAACAAGTAAATAAATTTATCTAAATTTCTCCCAGAAGAAATGAAGTATTTCCAATAATGTGTCCTAACAACACAGAACAATGGATTCTTATAGAAAGTGACCAAGATGCTACAAGAAGCTCTGCAAATAAAAGGAGTAACAAATTTGGTTTTTAACAATTCTGCAGCTTGTTTCTGAGCTGTGCTGTTTGAACTCTCCTCTGCCTGCCAGCTGATCACCAGAGTACAAAATAAGCACTAATCAGCCAAACCTCACTGTTACTGAGAAGTGAAACACATGGTTTGGAGCTTTCTGCCAGGTTTGACCCAAACAGGACAGTTAGAGAAACCCCATTAACTTCCAGAGCTCAAAACCTCAAACAGATGCAGCTCTCACTGCCTAAAGAGTTAAAAACTCAAGGGCAAGCAAGAGAAAGAAGTAAGACTAGAGTAAATACCAAACTGATTACAGTCTTTGCCTTAGGTGACTCAGTACAATAAGCACTCAAGATCACTGCATCAAACAAACTCTGGGGAAAAAGTTTGAAAAAATCCTTCCCTTCACTTAGTTAGGAATATCTATACATAAGAGATTAGGAAAATATCAGGGAAAAAGCTGTCTACAAGTTAAAAGGCCAAAATGATTCTCTGAATCTGATATTTTGCAAATGCTTTATAGAAATACTGCGTAAGTGAATTTACACTTGGCACTGAAACAAACCACATAGTGGGAAGACTATTTTACAATACCAAAAGATCCCCAAAAATACCAAATTCACTACACTTATATCCCCCGATAACCTCTTGGATGCATTTTTTGTGTGATCCAACTGCAACACAGGAAGGTTATAAAATGACCAGGCTACCTTTATTGATGGCTTCTGGCCAGAAAAGTCATAAGAAAAGGGAAGAGCACCTTAAGTCCTATTATTTAGGGGAAAAACAGAAAAGTAGCATGCAACTTGCATAACACATTTTCCCCTTTCTGCATTCACTTCTTACTTCTGCATTGCTTCCTAGAATCTTGTAGCTACTTCTTTATGGAGAAAACATGTACTTAATAACCTTGCATTTCTCATGTGCTCAAGAGCAAAGTACCACAAGACACCAGCAGACAGTGATGTGCTTGTAAACATTGAGCCATAGTTTGCTCCAAGAAGGAATGCTGTAGAAAAAACCCTACACAAATATTCTGTTCTGCTAAAGGCAACAAGGCTGTATCATTAAAACGTTCTAAAATTAGATTTAAAATTATTTTAGATAGCATTTGGTTTATAAGTTGATCATACAGGTTGAGGTACTGCTGGTTTATATCTTTAAAATGTCTTTTAACCACATTTTCAATAATGGTTTACCTTGTGCAATGTGTGATGGTAAAATAAGGCAATAGCAGTAACACCTTTTACGGGAAGGAGAAAGTAGGTTAAAGAAGAAACATGCACTAGGTAGAAGTGGCTCACATGCGAATGATGCAGGAAAACAGATCTCACAGGAAGTAAGGTAAACCTTAGTGTGAGATCTGAGAACTTTAAATACATTCTGCTGTCTATACATATTCAGCTCTCATTGTGACATAAGAGTATTTCTTCTGATGATGCCTAAAACCAGAAATACAGGGAAAAAATATGGAATGATGTGGAGAACTTGTTCAATGGAGCCTAGGCAATCACTACTGCCCAGTGATGTTCAGCAGATCTCCATGGGTAGGTTATTGCCAATTTGTAAGATATCACCAGTTACAACTGCTGGTCATTTTTTCCATAAATTGATTTACAGTAAACAGTATCACTTGTTCCTCTTGTGAGAACTACCACTGCTCTTTGCCCTAAATAACTCAGGGTATTTTGCATTTTTACACAGCAACTGTGATGTTTCTCAGCTTTTATTTTTGTGAAGTGTTCTTTACTCAGTGTCCCAGCAAGAGGACTCTGTGTGTAATGAACTCAGTCCTTACTCCTTATCTCATTCCACTTTACTTTATCTTATTAGAAAGATGAACATAGATATGAGGTTCTACTTCTGGGTTTAGAAACTATGTGCTAGTTAGAAACTGACAGTTACATTTCAACTTAAACATATCAAGACATCTCAGTTACAACAGATGAGCAGTGATAGGTACAGAGCGAGGGTTTAGAAATAGCTGCAGTTCACCACAATACACAGATTCCCCACAACAACAAGCTTAGGACAGTATCAGAACAGTTATCAAGATAAATTAGAACACAAAGGAAGTAGTAAATGATAAATTTGAGTCTGATTTAATTAAAAAAAATTTCTACACTCAGACTAAAAATAAATTTTAAAAATTGCTCATCACTTCTATTTAACAATTCTAAACTAACTTCTGAAGTAACTTTCAGTATTCAATAGAAGTTGGCAATTTCTTTGCAACAGAAAATACCACAGCAATAACCCTGCAAGGATCCTGATGTGCCTTCATTTGCACAGCTGACCTGAGCCCCCCTGCACTGAGCTCTATCAGCAGGGAAGCTCAAGCAAAGCCTGCAGCAGTTCCCACACAGCCCTGCAGAGCAGCTCCCCCCGTGGCTCCCCTCCCTGGCAGCCACAGAAGCCATGGAGCTCTTCTGCTGGACACTGCACCCCACTCCTGCACATGACCAACTCCCCCAGTGGGCAGTCTGGGCTTTCCTCTCCATGGTCTCACTGAACAATATGGTTGAAGTTACTACAAATTAAGGTTTCTCCCATGGAAGTTTTTCCCTTTACCCACTGCTCTGCACTCCCTGGAACACAGCTTCACCTCTGGCAGCTTCTCCAAGGGTCTATTGCAGAAGGCCAACACCTTCCTGTTGAGTACCTGCTCAGGTACAACAGAAACCCCAGTTTACATGTTAAGAGGACACATCTTTAAGGCCAGTAAGGAGCTGCAACCTAAATAGCATTACAAAATTAAGAGATGAACAGCAGTCTATAGGAAACCCCTAATATTCCTGACATAAGTGCAAGCACACAAAGACATGCTATAGGTATTTTGTAATTCTGTACAGTAACCATGACAGGAAAAGAAAATCTCACTTCTGTAACAACTGGTACTCCACCCTCTTGCCACAAATTTCCTAGCAACAAAGCTTCTTCTGCACAAGTGACACACAACATTCAGTATGCACCTAGCAGAACGTCAGACATTTCCTAACATAAGTGATTGCTTTATCTTAAAGCAATCAGCCACTCTATCATTCTAACACAGTTTTTTCTAAAAAAGCTTAGATTCTAAATATCAAGGTCAACAGAACAAAACACCAGAACCCAAAAGCTACCAGCTAAGATCAATCCACACAGTTTCCAATGCCCAGTGGGAAGAAATCTGGAAAAGTTGATGTATCTTGGAGGAGTTGAAACATATCTCCGTCCTTGAAACTCCCAGAGATACAGCCAGTGCTAGGAAGGAGGTGAGTAAGAACCAATCTATTGCTTGTTATACATTAAACATTCAGTCAGCAACTGCTGGCCAGTCAGCCAGTAGAGGACACATTCAATTTTTGGACAGAACTACAGTCAGGTGCCTGTTACAGTAAGGTCATGCCCTCCCTACTCGTTACCATGCCCAAAATAAGGCCTCTAAAAGGTAACAAGCATTACACAAACTGTGAAAGCCACAACAAAAGGGAAAATATAAAAAACATGACACCTAGAAAACCAGTAGCAACAGCATCAGCATCTAGCAACATCTCCTATGGTTAAATGTGAAGGTAGAAGGCCAATGACAGAGCAACACTCTCCCTTCTCTCTGTGGCTGGTCTCCCTTCTCACATGCTCACTGATGCACAGCTTCCAGAGATGATCAGTTTTACTGCTAAAACACTGGGAATATTCAGATGAAAATCCTAAGCCCGGTATTTTTTTAAGTCTCCCAATTCTGCTACAACTTGCACAAGGAAATTTCACAGGAAAGGTGTGCTGAATCATTTTTATTTCACTACCAAAGGGCAGATAAAAACTGAACACAGAAGACTGCATTACAGAGCATCAAAATGATGGTCCAACAACAAAAAGTCTGCTGCTGCTCTCATCTCCTAAACATAAACACCTTGGCTTACCATTTTCCAGATACCTGCCTTTAGTTTTTGAAAATTTTCTTTGCCTTAAAAAAAAAAAAAAGAATTACAAACAGCTGGCCACTTACTGAGTTTTTCTGTATATCTTGCTCAACCTTAGAAGAAAACACTGAGAGGTCCCCATTGAGTATAACCTCAGCCAAGGAGTTCACCAAAGGAGCATAATGTATAATTAGAAAAACCTGTTGAAAGAAGAGCAGAAAAAACATCAGACATATTTATACAATACAGTTTCACAATTTCACTAGCTGAACATACTTTAGACCTTGTTAAGTGCTATCTTTAGTTTACATATAAGTACAACTGGTAACAAAGAGCTCATTAAATCAACTTAAAACAAAGGAGACAAGGGTATCTGACCTGTCTCTACCTTTGAAACTACCTAGCTTTACTAATGCTTCATATTCTTTCCTCCTTCTGAGAAGTGTAAATTCTCTCTCTTCAACACCTTTGAATGGGAAGTTGTGTGATATTCCAGCAAGGAACTCATTAAAACCATTCCAGAAATTTATTTTTGTTTTAGAAACAACAAACTGATTATGGTGCACAGCATCCCCAGACCTTCCTGTGTGCCAACAACTGGCCAGACTCCAGAAAGTTTTGTGCACACAATCACTGTGCAGTGATTCATGACTAAAGGCCATGCACCAGGCTGAGCTGGATCAGAAGCAGCTTTTCTGGCTCTGAAATTGCAGCAAATCAGTGTCAGCTACACAATGGCTGCAGAACACAGGAGTAAGGACCATAATGCCTGGAGCACTGAAGCATTTGACCACAAGTGCTTTGGTGCTTTACCAGAGTTCTGTGTTTACACTGACTACTCCATTTTGAGCCAAGGCTTACATGTCTGGGCCAGCAAACAACTGGCTCCTGGACAGAACCAGCTCAGGTTCAGCTGCAATAGCTTTCTGTCAGCTTAAATCCATTCTCTTCACAGGAATATCAAGGCTGGATCCTTTATCAGTGGTTCTAGCTGAAAAATTCCCAAATAATTCCTAAGGCATTAAACCTAATCACTGCTTTGAAAATATTTAGCTAAATGTTCTCCACAGGTTTTTTGATTAAAGTCAGAAGCATTCCAGACCTCCAAAAGGGAAGTGATTATTAGCATGTAGTGGAGATCTACATAAAACTTTAAAGTCACAGCACACTTCAAAAGTGCTTTGAACAACCTCCAAATCACTCGAGCTTCTGCCAATTCACCAAGTGTTGCTTGACTGTCCACAGGCCTGCTCTGGTTCAAGAACAGCACAAAATCCCTTTGTCACAGTGGCTGAGAAATCCCAGCAGTGCATTTCCAGGTGCTGGCATCAGTCTCTCAAGCACTTGTGTCTAATATAAGAGTAGTGCCTAGAGCATATGCCAGGTGTCAGGAACAGAAACACTCAGCAAGGTCTGGCAGATCTCATCCCACCCCAGACAAACTCCAGGTTAAAAAAGGTGGGAGAAGATGTTTTTCTGCCAGTCACAGCAACAGTCATTTCATTTTCTATATCACATCCCATTCTGATACACAAAATTTGTTCTCAGTTCTTTATGACTACTTCCATTTTCTTCTTTAAAGAGAATGAAGAACATAGATACAAATCCTGAAGTGATACCTTGTCCATACTTCCACTGAAAATGAAGACTTTAAAAGAGATCACAACTGCATGATGCAGATCCCTTTGGTTACAAGCAGCTGCTGCTCCCACAGTTTTATCTGTGGTAAATAACCCTCACACACCACAATATTTTAGGTTTAAATTAAGGAGCATCAAATATTTTCCTAGGGAAAAAACTCCAACCCCATGCTTCCAGCAAAAAGATGAAATTATGGGCCAGATCACAGCAAAATGAGTACTAAAAAAAATTCTAAGATCAAAGAAAAAGAAGTACAAATTCTATGAACGTAAGCCAAAACTATTTTCACACAATGTAATTTAGGTAAATCAATCTCACAGTAATGCACTGAAGACTACAGGGACAACAGATGAATTTTCCCTACAAAACGAAAAAAATCTACTGTAGAATTCTTAATTTGAAAATTAATTCCAGAAGGAAAAGGAGGTGGAACTGATATGAGTAAGAAATAAGTACTTAATTACAGATTTCAGCTATAGGCATAATGAAATTCATATTGTGAATTGTGAGAAAGTGAGATTTTGGTAGTGGTGGTTTTTGGGGTTTGGGTTTTCAAAGAGGAAAATTCAAACCCGAGATTTTCCATAGCTTAAGCAGATTCAAAATGCAATCAGCATCTGGGTAAATTTCATCTGCCATTGTACCAAGCTCTGACCCAGCATGCTGCTTATCTATTACACTTTATTTGTCAGGGCGTGTACACAATTTGAAATGCTCTGAAAGTTACCCTGGGCAATGGGATCCACAGGAAAATGACATTAACTCAAATTGTCTGCCAAAAATGTTTTACTTTCTTTTTCTTAATGAAAACTGAAAGGCTAGAAATTTGATTTGATAAATTTTCTTTTATGGTTTTGCCAATATGATGAAAACACACTATTTTATAATCACAAGAGTACTGCAAAATTTGTTCTGAAACAGGACAAATATTAAAATACTTACTTGAGAAAGAAGATAGAGAGAAACCTGGAGACTTATTTTTGGACGCTCTCCACCCTACAGAAAAAGTTATGAAAAATGCTTATTTGTACAAAGAATTTATATGGCTTAATGTTTTATTTAAAATCAAACTTGTGTTGTTCCACATCCTGCTACAAAATATTCAGAAAGCATCAAGTTCTTTATCTTTAACATTCACTACTTGTAAACTATTTGAAATGGAGACTCTCTGAATAATCATATCTCTCACTCTTCCTTGATTAAAAAATTGCAATTAATTACTGTCTCTTGTGGTCACTTCAGTAATTTAAACAGGTGAGCATCTGAGAAGTACATTGGTTTTCACAATGCTACTAGTTCAAAAACTTTTCAGTTAACATTCATTAAAGACTCCTAATTAGCTATTCAGATAGCATGAAATATTACCCACAACAGACAAATGAATGCAGGAACCTGTGCACGTTTAAAAAATACTTTCTATTTCACAAAACCCAGTTTTAGTGAAACCACCACTTAATTTAAAGGCTATGCTTTAAACATAAATTCAGCTTCATCACACTAAAACACAGCTTCTCTACAAATAGAAGAAATGAGTATCAAACCCAGAAGTCTGTATTTTCTACATGGATAGATTTTTAGACCATGGCAAATTTGCTTTTTCTGTTTTTGCCAGAAGACAAGTTAGCTTATCAGAAAAGGAAATCACACATCTCCCAGTGTCACAGAAATTTAAACCCTGTTCCAAATTTGCAGTTCTTCTTGGTCTCCAATACTGTGAGCTTTTAACCACCATGTCACCCAAAGCAGCATTTCTTTGGTGTGCTCTTGAATGCTGTGCTGTGCTCTTGAATTGCATTTCAGGTTATTTCCTCTACAGCCACCCTCTTTAAGCTATTTCATGTAAACCACACATCATATACCCAACTGCCCAAATCACTCTGCACACTGAAAGCAAGCAGCACCTTTGAGAATTCACTGTTTGCAGGTATTAGCTTACCTTGTCTTGATTTACTAAGGAATACACGTAGAGGGGAAGAAAGAGCCTATTAAGTAGGTGGTCTGTCAGCACATCATTTAAAAATTCACAGTTAATGATAAGGATATCATTAAGGTAATGCAAATGATCAAGATGTTCTGCTACCAGGTCACTCAGTTTGCCCCTATTTCTGTGCCTGAAAAGAGAGCAGAAATAAAAAATTACACATGACCAATTGTGATAAGGAAAAAATGAACATACATCCCTGCCACAGATCAGCTGGCTGAGGTAGACTGCCCAAAGAAGATGTTTCAGTGAAGCCAACTAATGCAACTGTTAAACAGCTGCCTGTATTTTCTTTAGGATGCACACATCAAGTTTTTGCCCCAAGTTTTCACAAGAAAACTTCGTTTTTACAAAGCTTTGCTTCCATTGCCAGTGTTTTCATAAGCCAACTACAAAAATGAGAAGATTTCTTTTCCAAAAATGAAAGAAGAATTAGGTGTTGTATTTAACACCTACCTCTTCACTTTAGGAAAGCAAGAAGCACACAGCCACTCTAAGGTGGGGATGGCAAGACAAACCAAGAACAACTTGAATCAACAAAGTATTTCTGTAGCCGACAGTGGAATATTACACTGTCATGTCAGGTCTGACAGCTCACAATCAAGTTCATATTTCTAGTTTAAATCTTTTTCCTAGAACCTTTTCAGAAAGCTCTTCTAATGAGATGACACAAAGAAAAAAGGATGTTAGAAAGACAAAGTTTATAAGATTGAGAAGCACAAAATGCCTGTTGTGTCTTCTGGATATCTGCTATTTTTAGCAGAACAAAACAAAGACAAAAAAAGGGCTTGGTGCAAACACTAACTTACTTGTAGGGATAGCAGCACAGATCAGGCACACAGCACTGTTTCCTTGAAGAATCACTAAAAAACTTTAAAGAGTGAAAAGTCTGAACTGCCTACATGGGAATATATCTAGAAACTAACTTAACTGGACTACTACAGACAAAATAAGGACACCATTGACATCTGGGAAAAGCATTTGCATTCAAGAGGCAGCATTGTAAAAGCTTACTCTTCATCAGTCTGCACACAGTTATCCAGCTCTATCACGTGGCTGCCAATAAACCAGACGAGGTTGGAGAAATAAGGAACTGCAGTTTTATCTCGAATGTAATGCAGCATAGGCTGGTTGTCCACTGAAGAGAAATCATTAAAAAGAAAAAATCAGTTGCCAATACTTTTTATTGCTTTTTAAGAAATATAATAAAATATCTTTTGAATTTGATTACATGCTAGTTTTCCATATGAGTATACACCTGACACAATCTTAGGCATGAAATGGAAATCTACAAAAATGCCACATCAATTCTTATCTGGCTTGAATGAGCCTAATGTTGATATATGTACAGATGTCTGAAAAGAAACAAATCTAGTGGAATTCAGAAAGGTTCTTTTAGCATATTATTTATTAAAAAGAAGAGAGAAGCGCAAGAATAAAGCAGTAATGCTGAGAGTCAAGCTAGTTAGACTTACATGACACTGCATTAAGGAACACAGGAATCATCAGTGAAGGAAGGGCAAAAGAAACAGACAACAGTTAACAGGATTAGGAACTGGGATAGTGACATCCTCTAAAAGGGTTTAAAATGCTAAAGCACAAAGCATCTAAACTAAAACATACGGGGTAGCAGTTAGAGCAGAATATATGCAAACAGGTAGTCAGAAAATTATCAAACCTGAACATCTGAGCTCTGCCTTTAAACTCTAACCATTATATCACTACAACATTCAATGAAAATTCTAGAAAAGTAATTTTTAAAATAAAAATACTTAGTCGCAAAAATATATCACAAATAGGATATGAAGCCTATAATCTAGTCTTTTTTTTTTTGAGCTCATATTTGCATTTAAACAGTTCCTTCAAGTAGAAGTACCAAGTGCTCATTTCTTATACAAGGAAAAGTGTTGCAGCCAACACTGTAAAGATCCTATTTGCTATGCAGACTATCTAGTCATGTGCAAAGCAAACAGCTCATTGTTTTACAAAAGACCTCATATGCTTCTCTGAAGACTGTCAAACCACTTCTTCTCTTAACTGACAGAAAGTTGTGTAAATTCAACATGTAATTTAACTTAAAATGGACTAAAGAACAAGAAATCCTGCATGAACATATTGCATAATACATATTACCTTATAGCATGCTGATTTCAGAGGTAGAAGTTCAGAATAAACAATTTTTTTAAAGAGAACACTGTGAACAGTTCATTAAAAATCTTAAATATCCCAAGAAAAATTTAGGGGGAAGTGACTTTTGGACATTGGGTTTTAGAGAACACATTCTCAAAGCAGTGCTAACTTCAAAGTTCAGCCAGGTTTCTGATGTTCCTGCTGAGTTTTGAAGACCTCCAACAATAGAGATGCCTCAGTTTCTCTGGAAAAATCATTGCAGGGCTCAACTACTCTCACAGTGAAGCTTTAGGTTTTTTCCTCATGTCCTACTGGAATGCCCAGCAGAGGAGTTTGAGGCTGCAGCCTCCTGGCCTTCACTGAGCACCTCTGGGAATGGTCCAGCTCCTCTTGAGACTGGAGTGACTGCAGCACCTACCAGTTCTACAGTCATTTTAATGCACTTCCAATCCAAAAGGGAGTGATGCTGGTTACTGCTTCATGCACCAGAAAGCTCAATTTCATGAGTAAAAGATAATTTGTATTCATTCACATTCTGACCTCTCTTAGAAAGGAAGCTAAAGTTCCTTGTGTATGCCTGACACTTTTGGGGTTTTTTTAAAACCAGTTTCATTGGTGAGAAAATACTATTTACAAGTACCTACTGCAGGTTTGGGATAGTTGTCACAAAACTAAAAAATGTATATCTGAAACTTGTCAACATGCTAAGCTTTTCAGTCTCACAAAACAGACAGAAAACCCTCACAAATAAATAAGTGAAAATCAAACTTCAATGAAACCAGATTTGCACACATACCTTTTTTAATATATAAAAAGCATACCTTTATAGACATTTAAGGTTATAGTCCTAACAGCAATCCTGACCATGCTTTCGGGGTGGTTAAAAAATTTAATAGCTTCGGTGTACAAAGCAAAGTCATTAGTGTGCTGCAACAAGAGGAAAGAAAATATTTGATTATTAAACATGTACAGAATGTGGCTTGGGATTCTGTATAAATTATGTTTTCCCTATATCAACTTGGTATCTTTACCTTCTACTTAAGTAATCAAAATGATTTTACAATGCACATTCAGCTGCATGTGTAGCTCTGCATTAAAATGAGCTGCTTTAAGCACCAGAGCTTCCCAGGATAACTGCACACATAGCCAGTGTTTTCATGCCCTCTTCTGGCAGAAAGCAGAGTGCAGAGAGGAAAAACCCAGCTCAACTTTGCCCTTTGAATCAGCTTTTTGGACTTTGACTAAACCTCTTAGAACCAAGTGATGCAATAGAAAAGATCCTGTTCATGAAAGCACAAGAAAAGAAAGCATAAGCAAGTTCAATTCTCAAGGAAGCAGACTTTAAAACTACTGAAATGACCCAATATAACACTAACTTCCAGATTTTTAGTTTATTATAGTTGTAAGAGGACAAAGCCATGCTTGTGCAGAGATTCTCACAAACAAATTTACAACCACTAGTATGGCCATTATAAAAATAAAAGCAAGACATTATGAGACAAGAGACTAAACAGAGTATGTGCCACACTCCCATCAATTTCTAATTCAAGTCCTCTTATCATTATACTGCAGCTTTCTTTACTTACCTCATTATAAAAGAAATGTACAGTATGATTATTGAGTTTCAGGGAAAGAGTTTTCAAAAATGATATGTAATATGCCATGATCTCTTCATCAGAAAAATCAAATTTGTGGACAATAATAGAATTCACATGGTTATTAGAGAGCAGGTAGTCTGAAAAAAAAAGTATTTACACAGGTTTAACAAAAAAAAAAATCACAGTGGTAACAGGCTGTATTTAAAGTGCCAGCTAGAAAACAACAACCTGATGCTCGAAGATCACAATTTTGAGCCAAACAAGTGATGCCTTTGAGCATTAATATAAAGGATCTGCTCCCTACAAAGGTCTTTGCTACCAAGACAACTGAGAATATACTTCATCTTCCTCAATTCAGGTAAACTCTGCAGCTAACAACATTTAACTCCTTTCCTCCCCAAGTCCCAACTGTCCAAGGCTTGATGATGACTTTCATAACAGTTGTCAAATACTTCAAATTATTAATTTTCCATCCTCTAGGTATTTTGCCAAAAACCTCAAAGGAACCTCCTGTGGCTGACTGCCAGCACCAATAATGTCAGAACAGTTACAGTACAAATTACACACCAGAGTTTCACCACATGACCTATGGCAGCAAGTGAACATTTCAGATCACAACTATTTTGACTAAAGGAATCCCTTGGAATGTGCTAAATGCTTGTTGTACCAAAAAACTACTTTTGCACCACGGAAAATTTACATTCAAAGGTATTGTGGAATCAGTTTACACCACATTTTTGGTAGTGTTCAATTTAAAAGACTGTCAGTAATTCATAGTTCTGTGCAGGGGTACTAGGACTAAATTTCATTGAATGAAAGGGAATCCAATCTAGATCACTTCATCCTAAGCAGTTTGGAAGCGTGTCCTTACACAGCGATGTTTCATGGCTGATGTTCTCAAAAAGGATGTTCAGAGTCTGCAGCAGCTGCACACACACATAACGACCTGACTTCTGACGCAGGATGTTCAGGAAGAACTCAAACATATTCTTCTCCAAGAAAAAGCTGAAAGAAAATCAAGATGTCGTTAAGTCACATGTTGTAAGTAACAGGAACATAATTTGGCTAGGAGCAGGGATAATTCAAGGCAACTTTGACGAACAGCATGTTTTGCTTTTATGAAGAATTACTTTGCAAAGTTGCACGTGCAAAACAAAAGAATATCTTTCAAAACCCTTAAATACTAAACAAGAGGGCTTAAAATTGAAATTATGCAGAAAAAAAGGTATCAAGTAGTCAGGGCTTTTCCTACTGTATTTTTAGTACATTCAATTTATCAGTCAGCTCTAAATAGCACAGCTAGAATTTGTGATATCTTAGGTAAATTGAAGCAATGTGATGTTAGATGTACTGAGTAAATCTGGACCCTAAAATATGTTAGAGTTCATATTTATATCAAAAGAATGGAGAGTCAAACAAAAGCAGTACTTGAAAGGGGCTCTGGAATCCAAACACTTAGAAGCAGCAAATTCCTGTATGACATGAATATGAACCTGCTCACACATCTACTACAGGAAAAATTTTTTTACATACAGTCATGAAATGCAGTCTTGGAGGAGTTCACAGAAACAGGAACAGAACTCCTTGGAGGAGTTAACTGGAACAGAACTCTGTACAACTCCAAGCATTCTTCAAGCACAAAAGCAGAGTGCCAGAGAGAAGTGGCTGGGGATACTCACTCAAACACTGAGCTGTCATTCTGATCCCCCCAGATCAGGATCTCCGTTATGGAACGAATGGTCTCCACCAGCAGGTTGCGGTTGTGATCTGTCACGATCGTGTTTTTACTCAAAATATGGTACATGTACCTAAAAGAGAAAAGAAGCACAAGTGATGAGCTATCCTGCCACTCCCACGTGCACCATGTTTGTCTTTCACCACTGCACCAACACAGACACACACATATGCACACACCAAGTGTAACAGTTGGACAATTTTAAACCCCTAAAATTTCCTTCTAATACTGATGCAGAGAGAAAAGTAATTGTTAAACAGAGTGACAAAGGGAACAAATATCCCCCAGCCAGGTGAGTTATGGGTGCTTATGCAGATGTTAACACAGAACTAGAAACTGTGCAACTGGTCCCAAGGTGCTTCTTCTGTGAATTTCTTTGGAATATGTTGAAGTCCAAGGAGTGATGAACAACAGAAAGAGAAGAAGCAGGTAAGCATGCAGTAGCTGATACAGAAAAGTGGCAGTGAGGTCTAACCCTTCTCCTGAGTGACACATGAGTTCAATCCCTTCTCCTGCCTGCAGAGCCCCTCACAGACTCACATCTATTCTGATGTTTAGTATCAGGACCCTCAAAGACTATTCATTCACCTTGGCAAAACTTCATCAGGTCTCTGGTCCTCTGAGCACTCCCAGAAATCAGTATTGCCCAGAAACACTGATTGGAAAGGGGGTAAAGTCCAGCTTTATCATTTCAAAAGGCAAGAGTTTAAGAGTGTCTAGTGAAGCTTTAAAAAGGGTATGTCTATACCACAGGTGACAGGAAGCTATAGACAATTTAAGTCTCAGAATGTTACTCTTCAAGGAAGCACTTTTTTTGCCCAAGTAAGTTGTTACATCAAATTCTAATAAAAGCACAAAAATCAGCACTGCTTTTCTCCCTCTTTTTTTTTTCTTTTATATAGTGATTAAAAAAGGGTAAATATAAGAAAGGTGTACAGTTTTGAAAATAAATAAAAAAACGTGAGGGAAATTTCATGTCATTTTTGAACTGCACAAGTTTGGATTCCTAAACACAGCTTCTATATTATTATGTTATGATTGTACTGAAAACCAGTAGTAACACCTCAGCATTTCTGTGCAAATACTCACAAGTGTCTGGAAAGGATGACAGATTTCCCATATTATTAATCTTGCCATGAATCGTGGAGTTAATCAAGCTTCCAGGATCTAATTCTGTGAAAACAGCCTGAGTCCTGACCCTGGGGCAGCCTTCATTATTGTTCTGGATTCCATGAGAGTTTGTTCAGTGATACAGACTAAAATTTTAGGAATCTCATTAGTAGAATTTTGCCAAGCTTTTGTAAGGTTCCAAAAAACACAGTGCATTTCTAAAAATAAATTTTGGGGTGTCTGGTTTATGGCTTAAAGTAAAATGTTTAGGTCAAAAAACAGATTTGAAATTATGTTCCAAAAAACAAGATTCCCATCAATTTTATCAACACTAAAAAACTGAATCATTGCACTGGGCAAGCATGCAGCTAGAGACTAAACTGCCATTTAATTGAACACTCACATGAGGCTGCTCCCAATATTTATCAAACTTCCAAAGACAAGACAAGATATTACCCAGTTTCAGAACCTTTTGCTTGAACTCAGGAAATCTCTCACAAGCACACAAGATCTTTGATCATATTTACAATTTATTAAAAATCTGTCAAATTTGGTTTTGGGAGCCTTCAACCACTGAGCTGCCAGAGTTGGGCAGAGTTTCACAGGACTTGCAGCAAGAAAGTCTGTCCTCACAAGCCATGCAGGGAACAGGTGCTGTTTCAGAGAAGCTGAGGGTAAAATACTGTGTGCTCACTGCTCTTGATATTACTTCACCCTCAAACAACAATTCTGCTGTGTTGAGTACTGCACAAGGACACAAGAGGTAAACAGCCCTCAGGAGTCCACAGCTTTCCCAAACCTGAAACCACACGCTCCCTTCCCTCACTCCCCTCATCAGCAAAGCCTGCACTACATTCCCAAAGGCATTACCACATTATAGATATCACCAGCCAGCAAAAAGGAGGAAAAAGGGAATAGGTGGCAGGGGGGGAGAGGTGGAGGGGGAATTGTCTTTTCTTTATCTTTCTCTTCAGTAAAAAAAAAAAAAATTCTCTCCCTCTTCATGGTGTTTTCTTTCCCCCCTCCTAAATCAACACTCATTTTCAAACCCAAAACAATCACTGATCCCATTGAAACCACTCTAGGAAAAGCTGATTCTCAGCTGCGTCCTACAGTCACAACGGCCTGGTCATGTGCTGTACCAGAATAGTCATTCAACAGCAAAGAGAGCACCTGCAAATCCTCTTCCACTAATCTGAGATCACAGCTCCAGATTCCTTCTGTGCACACTGACAGTGGGACAGCTCACAGTGAAGATGTGAGAATTCCTGGGGTTTCTAAATCAGCACAAAGCACACAAACCCTGGAAAAGCTTCCCATTAGGGCACTTGGTGCATCATCAGGACAGTGAATCAAAAGACAAAGCACAAACTCAGTCCCTGCTCTGAGGATGCAGCAGTTAATGGAACAGAGAACAGAGAAGAGATGGCAATTAGATCACTTCATTCCACAATCATTTTAACAACTTCCTGAAACAGTTAGTAATTAATACTATATTACTTCACATATTTTGGACTATTAATTTGAAGTCACATAGAAATCACTGCATCTGTGAACATGTATTTCTCATTAACAAGTTATATTATACAAATTTGGGATTAAAGTTTACTCCAGCAGTAGGATTTTGGGTATGGGATGCAGTGGAAGAATGACAAGCTATTATTTCATTTTGGGAGCCTATGGAATATAAAGCATTACAAACACAAAAACCAAGAAGCATTTAATAATCAGGAATACATTACCTCAAAATTTATTTATTTAGTAGAAGCATTACTGCAAATTCCTTATTCTGCTAAGGCACTGATGCACTTAGAGGAAACTTGGGCTTCACCTTCAAGCTATTCCTTTTTATTTCATTTTTTATTTATCCTGTTTGCTTGAAAATGTACAAGAAAACATACACATACTTGCTTCTCTTTACAGACATGTGAAATACCATATTATGAGAACATGAAGCATCACACAAACCCAGTATCTTTGTATTTAGGTAAGTCTTTAAAGGCTGTCTCTAAATGCTGATTACAGAGGGATCAGGTTTGTGCTTCAAAACACAAAACTATCAAAGAGGAGACTTTTGTCTTCTCTATATCTGAAGACTGGGTTTAAACAAAAATACATCATGCAGGAAGTGCCAAAGCACTCAATACCATCAGAATCAGTGGGAGAAGTTGCCAGCAACTCAACAAACCCAATAAAATTCTGAACATTTTTCTGGTTAGAACTCATGCTCAAAGGGGCAACATAGTAACTTGTGAATATTGTAAGTGCATATTAATGACTTTCCTACTCAATACTTACAAAAATTCACTAGAACAGGTAAGAGTTGAAGGAGTCAAGCACTCAAGTTTTAAAAGCCCAGACCTGCCCATAGCAGGCTTGCTCCTTCACTGCCTGTGACCAGGTAATTGCATATCGTTCTCACACAGGACACCTGATGCATGGCACAGACAGTGCCTCAGGAAATGAATCACCCATGGAAAAGGACTTCAAGCACACCTTTATGGACACTGCATCTGACCAAGGCATGGCATATGCTCAGCACCCAATTTTAGTGGCATGGAACCTTTGTGCAATCACAATGCAATTAAAATACCAAGTGCAGAAGCAGCCATGGGAAATGTGCTTGACAGTAGCAACAGGGCTGTGTAAAATACCACAGAAAAGTAGGGGGAAAGTCTGACTTAGAAATAAAGACACACAAAAAGATCAAGTTCTCTGAGAAGTACCCAGGCAGTGAGTAGCACTGTGTCATCCTCCTCTAGATGGCATTTCAGAAGTTAGATCAAATTTTAACTGTTTTCCCTAGATCAAGAGACTGTATAAAAACACCCAATGCAAGGAGTGTCACAATTTTCCTTCAGCCAATCCACTCTCTGGTGTGTTTGCAGGAAGACTGAATAGCAAAATTTCAAAAGCAAACCTCAAACAAACTGCATTAAAGCTGATGGGAAAGATCCAGCACTCACTGACAAAAAGCAGTAATGCTGCTGGTATCACTAAGCATGTGGAATGTTTACAATTTAGACTAAACTCTGCCTTACGCATGTTAAAAATTAAAAATGCTCCCACAAGGCCAGCCCAGACTGATTTCACCCCTGTAACACAGCATAATGTACCTTTGGCAGGCTGAGCTAACCTGTAATGGCAAGGCAGGTGTGTTGTACTCAGCTCCTTCATATGGAACACAAAATGGGGCTTTGATGAGTTGAAAATATGAGAAGATAAACAGTTTATCTAGTGTGCTTACTGAGACTTTCTTTCTTTCTTGACCCCAAAACAAAGGCTCTCTGACCTTTTCCTTCTGTTACTTTACCCACTTCAACACTTGGAAATGACTTCAATTTCACCTTTCCTGTTGGCATCCAGCTAGAAGCTGAAATTCACACAGCCTGGATAAACAAACACTTAAAATATACATAGTATAAACAGATCCAAGTCTTATCTGTCCTTTACATACGACCATTTCAGATTCATCATTATAGAAATCACATGCAAAAAAGCAAACAGACCAAAGCTTGTACTTCAGTAGATAAATATATACTCCAACTCTCTGATAACAAGCCACAACACTTACAGCCCAATTCCCCATTGCTACAAATGAGGCAGGGTGCTATTTTTCTATTCTCTGCGGCCCCAACAGATCATATGGACACATTTTTCTGACATGTGAAAGTAAGTCTCAAGTCTCACTCTTTTTTTTCCTAAACTTAAATTCAGTTTTTTCAAATTTCATCACGCACCAGCATTCTTGCTCTATCTTCACGTCAAACATCAAAGTCAGGAAGAGCTAAAGCCCCACTAATGCTGAGCAGTACACAAAATCCACTCCTTGGATGTTCAGCAGAACATTCCTATGTTTACATCTGACCACGACTTTTCCCCCTTTTCCCTGTAAAACCAGACTACACTGGCGTGCTAGTCTGACCTACAATACTTTCAAAATTATTTCTGCAATGCTACTGCCTCATTAGTTTTGTATTCATGGGCTTGAGTTCCGTGTCTTTGGTAAAAAGCATTGCATTTCAGATAGTCTTGCTCATTTTGAACATTTCTCCGGTTTAGAGACAAGGACCAGCATCCATAAATCATCTTGATAAAACAACTGCAAGATCCAAATCCCGTACAGGGCATCCTGCTCGTTACTGTCAGAACCCATTCATGTCCTCCCTTGCAAGATGACTGAAAACTACAAAGCACTTTTTCTCAATGAGCTACATAGTCACAGTGATTTCATTTAGAAAATGCTTCATGTCTCAATGACCTCCTTTTCTCGTTCAGTACAAAGAGAAGCTATCAAGGTGGTTCTCATTTTTCTTCCAAGAGCGGAACACTTAAAATGGAACAGGGAAATTAAATTTTTTATCCCTTGCCACCCTTCCAACTCTCCAGCGGCAGAGCTGGGAAAAAACTATTCTACCTTCTGCGGGCAGCAGTAACACACGGCTGTGGGGCTGCAGAACACATCACAGCTCTCAAGCTCAGAGCTTTCCTTCTGCAGCAGCTGCCGCGTCCCGCAGCGCAGGGCACACCCCGGCCCGCCGTGACTCACGGCTGCCATGGACCTCCCCTCACGCCGGGAGCTGCACTGCCCACACCCCGGCTCCAGCCCCTCGCCTCAGCCGCCAGCAGGAAACAAACAAAGTTCTCCCTCTAAAGGAATGCGGTATTTCTTGTATTTATCACGCCTTGCACTCTACCCTCCCGAAGACTCCGTGGCATTGCTAAAAACAAAACAAACACGTATGGCAGCCGGAGTGTGACATTACGTGACGAACTACGTCTGCCCTGAGGACCTTCTGGGACGGAGAGGCCGGTTTCCGTGAGGCGGACACCAGACCTCAGAGCCTCCGCCAACCGGGGAGTGCTCCGGGCGCGTTCCCCTCAGGAGAGCTGCGGCAAAACGCCCCGGCGAGGGCAGCGAGCGCCGGGGGAGCGCCGTCCGCCGAGCCGCCCTCTCCTCTCCCGGCCCCGCAGCCGGCTCCGAGGGAAACCTGCCCCGAGCAGCTCTGCGGACGGAGCCCGGCCACAACCGCCCCCTCCGAGTCCCCTCCCGGCCCCGCCACCCTCCGCCCTCACCGCCGCCCCGAGCCCGCGGCCGCCCTTCGCTCACTTGAGGTGGTCCAAGGAGTGGATGCTGCGGGAGGCCTTCCCGTGCCCGCCGCCCACCCAGCTGCGGGAGCGGCCGAACATGCTGGCGGCGGAAGGCTGCTCCGGCCCGCGGGCCCTACGGCCTCATAACCCCGCGGGGCGAGCGGGCGACCGGCGGGCGGGGACCGGCCCGGAGCCTCGGCGGCGGAACCGGCGCGCAAAGCGCATGCGCGACCAGGGCACGCCGGAAATCGCCGACCCGGCCCCGCCCCCGGCCCGCGGACTGCGAGTCCCAGGGAGCACCGCGGGGGGCGGGGCCAAGCCCTCACACGGGCGGGGCGGGGCCTGCGCCGGGCGCGCTCTGGGGCCGGCTTGCTTAGAACAACATAAGAGAACCAGAAAAAAACCCCAAAACATATTAAACGTCTTACGTGTACCTCCTAAATGTGTTGTAATTTGAGGTAAAATTTGGCCCCTGCCTGACATTCCTTGTTTGGCTTCCATAGCCCAAACGAAGCTGTTCTGTGGGGTCACTCCTATGATGCAAGACGCAGCGTCAGAAATACAGCTGCTGGAATTTCCCTTGCTGAGGTTCTTCCAGTAAGGATTTTAAATCGGCCTAAAAATTGAGGAAAAACAAAGAGAAGGGGACTCTTGACTGTCTTGACCTAGTTTTGAATTTTTAATTTTTTTTTTGCTTTAGCCAGAGAAATAAACTAAATCTATGTAAAAGCTGAAGAGTTTGTCAGGCAGTGTCAAAAATGGACCGAGTTTAAAATCCCGCCTTCGGTAATATTTTGGTATAGATAAAGCCTTGGTCAGCAAAGAAGCACCTGCACCGCAGCCAAGAGGGGCCGGGCCCGCAGTGCCGCTCCAGGAGGGCCTCGGTCACAGCAGAGGTCGTGAAACAACTTCCAGGGGCGAAGGCACAGCCCCAGCCTGCCCGCGCTGCCCCGCTCCGCAGGCTGCGGGCTGCGGCAGAGCTCGGCAGGCAGGAGCGCGCAGCCGAGGGTCGCGCAAGCGGCCCCTGTCCCCTGCAGCCCCCGTGCAGCCGCAGCGGGACCCCAGTGCCGCCAACGAGGCGGAGGCGGCGGCGTCCGTCACGGCCGCCCCGCGCCAGCAGCAGCGCGGCGCTGGTAAACAACGGCGGCGTGCGGCAGGACAGGCGCGGGGCGGGGAGCGAGGGGCGGGCGGGCAGCACGGTCCTGCCGCGCAGGCCGGGCTCGCTGGCAGGTGCTCCGACCCCAGCTCCCAACGCGCCTGCGGGCTCCTTCCGCAAAGTTTGCGGGCGGCAGGAGTAGGAGGAGGGAGCCGCGGCGGGACTGCAGTAGCCGGGCTGGACATGCCGCTCAGCACCCTCCTGCCAGCAGCGGGGCTGCGGCAGCGCCGCTGAACCCGCGCTGGCCGCTCGCCCGCCCGCCGGGCGCCTCTTCCTCCGGGGACTGAAGGGACCGAGCCGGCCGCTCCGCGCCCCTGCGGGGCTCGCCTCTTCCCGGAGTCCGGATCCAGCTCCTCAGAGATTCTGCCCTTTGCTGCCACCGGGGCTGCGGCGTACAGTCCTGCCCCGCTCCCAGCTCCGCCGCTGCCGTCCGCCCCCCCGTGCCGGCCGGGCGGGTCGGTGCCCGCTGCCCCCGCAGCCCCCACGGCTGCATGACCGCCGCGGTCTCCGCACGTCTGGATTCGGTGGAGTCCTGGGCCTTCCATGCGCTGCTGGTGCTGCCCTATATGTTTTACGTGGGCTTGTTCTTTGTCAATGTGCTGATCCTGTACTATGCCTTCCTGATGGAGTACATCGTCCTCAATGTGGGCATCGTCTTCCTGCCCGAGGATATGGACCAGGCTCTGGTGGATCTGGGGATGCTTTCCGACCCTGGCTCCGTGCTCTACGAGACGGACAGCGAGCTGGATGTGTTTGACGGGTACTTGGAGTGACGCCCCCGGGCGCTCCAAAGCGACTGAGCTCCGCCGCCGCCTGGCCCGGGGCAGGGGCCCGGCGTGCCCGCATGGCCTCAGCTCGGGGACTGCCGCGGCCCCGCTGCGCGACCCCGTCGCGACTCCTCCTGCGCAACATCTTCCCTTCCAAATGGCACCCGCCCCGCCGGTGCAGGGGCCAGAGGGGCGGCCGGGACCCGCTGCCGCCGGGCAGGCCCGCGGAGAGGCAGAGGGCTCGCCAGTGAAGTAAGTAATTCCTCAGTGTCCGGCCGGGCACAGCGGGCACGGCGCCGGGACACGCTCCGCCGCAGCTCCGGCACGGGCGAGCGCTGCGGGCAAAGGGCCGGGGCCGCCCCCGCCGCTTCCCTGCCCCGCAGCGCCCGGGGACAGCGGGGACAGCGACCCTGTCCCCCGGGACTCATCCCCGAGCCACTGCAGCTCTGCATGGGGGGCTGCCTGTACTGCCGGGCAGAAACTTTGCTGATCCGGTCCTGAAAGGAGCCCTGAATCGAAACGAGCATCTCGGTTAACATTTATTACAATTCGGAGACCTTCCTCGAGCCAGAAATACATCTTAATTTGCTGCCCTTTAAAACCACTCTCTTGGATAGTGACAAACTACCCAGCTCACCATTTTAATTGTAGCACGAGGGTTTTGCTTGATCAGTTTTTTTTGTGGTAGTTTTGAGTGATTCTAAAAGTCTGGAAATGTAAGGATTTAGCATTTTAAAACACTGAAATGCATTTGGGAAGAAAAATCACTATTTCTAGCTAGGACTTTCTGTGCCAAATGTATGTTAATGAAAACATTCACAGTTTAAATTAAAATGTGTTAGCAAATCTGCCAGCAGATTTTTTTAGCAAAATATTGTCTGTAAATCTGAAACCAGTTCAGGATATATTTATTTTTCTGTTTGAAATGATGGAAATAGGAAATTCAGTTATAAGGTTACAAGTATGAATTCAGTGACCACACTACAGTTAATATCAAACTATTTTAACCAGTCTTCTAATTTAACAAACCCAAACAAACCTTTCTTGTAGTTCTGTCCTTCATATAGGTTAAAATTATCTCCTGAATATTTCTAGTCAGATTATTTTTAAAGAATTAGCTGATTTTGGTCAGTAATTTAGAAGGAAAAATTGGACATTTTTGGTGTTGGAGTAACATTGATTGCACAAACACAGCTGAACAAGGCTTGGCCCAAGGCATGTGGGAGCCTAACAGGGGAGTGAACAGATTTTGTTGCTACTGAAGAAATCTCACTGCATATAGTCACTGCAAATGGAAGTGTCTATGCCTACATCTGGTGGTCCATCCCAAGCAACTGGGATGAGAGTCCCTTCTGCTAGAATAGAAAGTGTGGAGCAGCACAATCCTCCCTGCAAAACACCATTGACTACTTTTGTGGTTGTCTTCTTCTTCAGCTGGACAAATAACACACATGATCTGCATTCCAGGAAAGGATTTCCTAAAAATTGATAGTAATTCAAGTAAAATCTTTGGTGCTAAAAACTGTATCCATTTTCTTCCTCAAAATACCTTTCCCTAAACTCCAAATCTTAGTGCTCCAATGCTATTTAGTATAGGGATTAAAAATACTTTTTTTAAATAACTTTTTTTTTCTGTCTAGAATTTGTTTTGATGAGTTGTGTCTATTTTTCAGGAAGACCCAATGAGAGCATCAGACACAATTTTCCTCAGTGGGAAAAAAAAATTCCTACTATACAAATATCATTTGTTATGAGCACATTCAGTTCCATGTAGATTATTGGGCTTCTTAAAATTTTATTTCTTATTAATAAGATAAGCAGCTCTGGAAACTTCTTGATATTCCAACTATAAACCCCTCCATATGCAGAAACCAAAATGCAGAGGTTTTCTCAAAGCTCAGAAGTAAGGCTCCACTTTTACCCACCAAGAGCTCATGGAGCTCTGCACAGGTACCAGCTCCACCCTTGACCTTTCATCTTTTGGAAACTGTCAAGGTAGATGGTGGTTTCCATTGAGAATCAAATCACAAATCCCAAAAGTTTGATCAATTCTTAGGCAGCAAAAAAATTACTGTGTTTCATCTATTTATATATTTAATTATACTTACAGACATAGCAACCAGGCTACAAATTGCATGATTATTTAGCTACCAGGCAAAGCCACAGTGTTACCACCATGATGAGGGATTTGAGTTCATATCCTCTTACAGGTTTCTTCACTGTTCTGTGCCATTCCTCCTCAGCAGTTCTGTAGCAGCAAAGCAGGCAGAGGAGGGCCCTAATTTGGAGCTGTGTTTTCTGCTTTGGGAGCAGCACTAAGGCCCTGAAAGGGAAGATTTAGATTCTTGTGGTGCCTTGCCTGCAGAGACCCGAGTGCTGTGTGAGTGTTAACCCCTGCCCTCCTGGCCTAGGGAGGTTTCCCTTGCACCCAGAAGTGCTGAGGATTCACAAGACACTGCAGGAAGAATGGGTCTGTTTTGCCAGCAGTGATGAAGAATATGTAGGCCTACTCTTTGCATTAAAGAGCAGGGTTCTTCATGTGACTCACCAGTGATTTCTGAGAGCAAGCAGAGAGCTGTGATTATCCTGAGCTGAAACCTTGCAGCGTCCTCTGCCTCGCACCCTGCGTGAGTGACGTGTGACGGGAAAACAGAGGGGGCAAATCCCAGGAGGCCCTTCTGCAGTGTGAGGAAAGGCTGATTTAGATGTAAAAATAAAAGAACTCATGGATCAGAACAGCTCTGTGCTCTCTGGCAGCAAACCCCTCACTTGAATAAACTCAGTAGAAACGAAATGATGTTCAAGTTCCTGAGCAAAACTGGTGGCAGAGATTGAAGGCAGACAGATAAGTAAGCAGCTGAAAAATGTTTCCTGGCTTATTCAAATGAAGAAATTAAATCTGTGTAACCTGAACAGAATTGAGCTTGTTTGTGTCATCGGCTGTTTTTGTGTGAGTGTTTCAGGTTATTTAGGATATATTTGAAGACCCCTGGAATAAGGTCATATGACTATTCTCATACTTTCAGAAAATCAGATGTGACTCATCACAAAGTACTCCTATCAGAAAGAAAATGGGCAAAAGTAATCAATAATGAGAACTGAATAAGAAGACAATTGATGTAATCTTGCAGTACATGCTTTACCTGTATTTTTTCATAAGATGAATTATGATGAATATCTTCAGTGAGCAGAATCCAGCTCTCAAAACCTGTGACTCAGCACTTCCAATGAATGCCAGTATCTAAATTCTGAATCAAAAAACCC